AATATATAGTCTATTTTCATACCAACCTAGCCTAGTTTATTAGTTCACTAGTTTACTAACCAATCCTAAGCACGGATAAAAGGGGAACACTGGGTATAAGGCTAGCAACCCTATCCCGTAGAATTAATTCAATCGTTAACAAAATCTTCAAAGCACAGAGAAAATTTAAAAAACAGAAATAAGCTAATTCTATGCTGGAATCGGGGAGACGAAATGATGCCGGTTGATGAAAGCTTTCAGGAAAGTGATTGGCCGATGTGTCTTCTCTCGATGAAACCAAAAGTAAGGATGGCGACATGGAATGTCCGCACAACGTTTGAACCTATCAAGGCTATCAATATTACAAAAAAGATGAGAAGGTATATCGTAGAAGTGCTAGGAATCTGCGAATGGAATAGGAGTGGACTTTCCAAACTGTTAACTGGACAGTCAATAATCTACTCCGGTCAAGACAAACCTGCCTACCATCACCGATCATCTTCCTGCATGTGGCTGACTGCACTAAATCATACAACAAACAGTCACGAACGAGATGGGCACACGCTGTTTAACCGATGAAAATACCCTACAAGATTTGCATTTCGACCATGATAATTCATGTCTAATGTAATGCAGTACAAACTCAAAGATCTACAGGCAAAAACCAACAACCTGAGAGAAGAGGCAGCAAAAACAACACTTCAAGCGAACGTAGAGAAGACAGAGGTGATGAAGATACCCAACCAACAAGAACAACAACAATCACAAGCTGCAATCACCATCAACGATAGAAATTTAAGGAGAGTTGTCTCTTTCACCTACCTACCTACCTACCACCCCACACCTACTTACCTACCTACCTACCTACACACACACCTACTACCTACACATCTACACACACACACCTACCTACACAACTACTTACACACGTACATAACTACACACCTACACACCTACACACCTACACACCTACATACCCACCTAAACACCTACACACCTAGACAGCATCCTCTCAACTACAGGCAGCGGCACACGCACAGATGAACATATCAAAGCAGTCAGGATCGAACGACAACAAGACATGCTTTCCTTTATCAGTATGAAATCAGTGTGGAGATATGCTGCACTGCACTTCACTGCACTGCACTCAGCATAAAGCAAGAACAACATCCAGATTTTCAACACTGATTCAGTCAAGTAGGTCAGTGCTTCTATGTGGTTTAGAAACTTGGCGCATCATGGAAAGCATTTCCAACAGACTACGTACACTCATCAACAACTGCCTACACTGGCTAGTTGCTGAAAATCAGATGGCCAGAATAATAATAATAAGCAACAAGAAAGTTACTGTGTCTGGCAACGAACCAATGAACTAACTAACCATCGCCTAACAAATCTGGAGGGGAAGAAAGTGGAGATGGATTGGATTAGATTGAACATACAATGAGAAGAGTGTTTGGGGACATCACGTGTGAAACGAAGCTAGTCCAAGCCGTCGAGTGGAATCGAAATGTGAAACAATGAGTTGGGTGTCCCATCTGAGGGTAACATGGAGGAGATTGTGTGAGGAGGAAATGAAAGGTTATGAGCAGTTGTGGGGCCAGGTTAAGGAGACTTGAGAGGAGAGAGTGAAATGTTTATGTCGTAGTGAATCCCTATGTTCCACTAGGAACTCAAGTGACAAATAATAATTATGCTAATATTTTTCATACCAGGTACTTACACACTTTTAAGGCAAACTCTATATAGTTTCAATTCTCTCTCATCCTTTGTCGTAAGGCTAGTTTAATTATGCATATTTCTTAAACAGTTGAAGAATGATTTGAGTCACACGTACTTGGTGTTGATTCGATAATCACAGATTCTGTTATCCATCTCTCCCCTCCATCTAACGGAGCTGATTTTTAATACTGTCACTATTTCCTACCCTATAGCATGATTTTGTGCAATCGAAAGATACCTCTAGTCGAACTCCTCTCTAAATCCTTTTCCTTATTAGGATCTACTTATTCTAATCTAGCTAAGTTTTTTTGCTAGGAGAGCTTAATTAACCACAGTCGACTAATTTCATTTATATATCTGACTTCATAATCATTGAAAGGGATTTGGTAAACTAAATTATTTTGCCTAATTGGATCCCTATCACCGTTGTAGTTTAGGTCATTGATCAGGGTTTCATGACATAGGTATCATATTAGTGAGGCGTAGAATCTTAGGAGGAAGACGGAAGTCGTTTACAGGGTTGTGAACCTTCGTTGACTCATAAGGCTGTAGATATATGTTACGCATGACTAACTGACTGACTGACTTAATCAACATAGAACCTCATACATGGGTGCGTCGGCTCAAGCTGTACTCTACTTTGATAGGCGGCTATTAAGTGTAGTAACCTGAATTTCTACTCAGTGATATCACGGTCCCATGTTAATATTCCTTGTCCGACTTTTAAGTGCTTCAACATAAGTTCTAATGAGTCACTGGTAGTAGCAATGGTATTGGAGTATCTAGAATCGTTCCGCAGACAAATTAACTTTCGAAACTCTCCTCAAGAAGACTGACAGAAATTGCTATGCTGCATTTAACAAATAAAGTGTCGGGAATTCACAGTACAAGTTGCTTTATTAGCTAATGAAATATACCAATCGAAGTTATTCATAAGTTAATAGCTGTTTTCATTATTACTATTTGTTGATATACTTGCAATTCCCCGTTGTTTTACTGAATCAAACTATTCGTCCTCTATTGGGATGTGAGCTACTATGAGGATGCCTCGATATTGTCTCAATCTTAAATATCGTAATTTACTTGATTGTGGCTAGCAGAAGAATCTAGAACAAGCATTTTATCCTACTTGATACTCATCAGCTAGACGTACCTGTACCCCTGTGTAGAGTAATTTTGTTCTCACTGAGACTTGCACGTTGTACCCATCTCTTCAAACGCCAAGGCTTTACCCACTATACTATAGAGGAATAATAGCCACCTCTAGTACAACGAGTATTCGTTATAACTATCTATTCATATGCTGATTGTTCTCCGACGATTCCCGAATAGGACGAAACGCGTTTCCTGGATTCTTCTGTTAGCCACAACCAAGTAAAATACCGTGTTTTTATTACGTTTTATTTTCGTTGGTTTTATCAACAAACTGTTTACGTCCATGAAAATAATCTAATTGGTTTAAATGTATAAATATATACTCATTTACATAAAGTAATGGTGTACGCGAAGATGTCGAACTGAAAAGAGGAGTTCAGGATTGACTCTGGTTTCGAAGAGATAATGGTGGCGAAATGTTCTAGACCGAGAACTTTGTAGATAGGATAGCTCTCCTTCCTCTTTCTCTTCTTGTCAATCTTTGACAACTTCGTCTTCGAAGGATTCTTCTCAGCCTTGTCAGAAACAACCTTTCCATAGACTAATGCATCCAACATTGCTTTCGCTCGACCTCTCAGAAATCCATCCTCCTCACGTGGATCCCGAACATTCACCAACTACACAACTGACTTGAAATCTTTGAGGAAGACCTAGATGTATCTATCCTCGAACACTGAAGGTCACAGAACCTTCATCACATCCAGAATCAGCGACACTGAAAAAATGAAAATGGCAAAGGATGAGCCCCAAAGGGATCAATCATTATGACACTGTATATTATTTTATCATTTATTATTTATCTGTTATTTGTCCCTTGAGTTCCTAGTGGAACATGGGGCTTCAGTAGCACACCTCCATTACACTCTCTTCTCTGCACTATTTCCAACCTGGCTCCACCAATACCCACAACCTCTCATTTCTTCCCCACACCATCTCCTCCATGTCACACTCACCTCGCACGCCCAACTCGTCACTTCTCATCTGGGTTCCACTCGAGTAACTAGCCTGACACGTGATATCCCCAGTCGGCCTTCTCAGTGTATGCCCAATCCATCTACACTTCCTTCTTCTGCCCATTTGTTCAGCGATAGGTTCTTCGTTGGTTGGTTGCTTCATTGCCAGCAACAGGGAGTTCCTTCTTGCTTATTCTCATTATTCTGACAGTCTGAGCTTCAGTAACGAGTCAGTGTAGGTAGTTGTTGATGAATATCTGTAGTTTGTTGGAAATGCTTTTCGTAACACGCCAAGTCTCCCAACCATAGAGGAGCACTGTGTTGACTGAATTGGTATTGAAAATCCTGATGTTATTCACGCTTTGTGCTGAGTGCAGTAGATCTTCACACTGGTTTCAGGTTGATGAATGCCTGTCTTGCTGCATTTCCGATCGTGGCTGCTTTGACGTTCTCATCTGTGCCTGTGTCGCCTGTAGTTGAAACGATGCTGCCCAGCCAGATAGGTGTAGGTGAAAGAGGTTACTTCTTCTTAGTTTCTCCCATTGATGGTGATTCGAGCTTATTGTTGTTGTTGGTTGGGTATCATCATCACTTCTGTCATATTATACTAATGAAAAGCTATTACGTTTCCATTAAAACATCCATTTGTGCATTGTTTTTCAGTTCCTATTCTTCTTCTATCTCATCTTACTCTTGATACCTCATACGTCATCTTTTAAGCTTCTATTTGCAGAATATTTACCCATCTCTCATAATTACCCAATGACTTGTCAACATACACTACTTATATACATTGTTATAAGTAGCATACATTACAGTGGTGATGTAATATGCTTTAATAACCTGTTAAAAATCAACTGATTTTCAGTTAATGCCTTATATCTCGAAAGAAATTTCATCTCAAGGGCATGCCTACATACACACACACACACACACCTAGAATTTTGGCAAAGGCGAAGTGGTAAACAATGTGACTGATTACATGTGACATGTTAACGATCTATTATATTTGTAAAAATCTAATTTCAACTATTCTTTGAAAATTCTTATATCATTAAAACAATTTCATGTATTTATTTATAGTATTACAAGAAAAATATTATTCACGGTGTTTATTGACAGAATCTACAAAATTAAAAAGTGGACAAATTTACTGTTAACATTTCTAATCCCTGTATTAATCAATTATCAATGATAAGTTATCATTATAAATATGGATTTTATTTATCGGATAAAGATGAGAATACAGAAAGTTCAATGATCAATACTGAACAACAACATCAATTATCAGCGTATAAATCATTTAATCAAAGAAAATATATTGTAAAAGAATTAGTTAAAACACAGATTGATTTCACATTAGATATGAAAACTGTTTTATCTGCATTCAATTCTATTACAATGGAGGTAATTATTCACTTTTGTAAATTATGAATTATTTTAAACTGATATAGGTTTAAAACTAATGTATCATTTCTTATTCGGATTAAGATATTGGTGATTGTATTTCAATTTGAGCGGAATTTTTAACTTATAAGTTCAAGAGTATTTTGATGTATTTAAACAAAAGGTATATTTGACAAGCATAAACTATTTCTATGATGACTCCCAAAGAGAACGAAACGCGCGTACTGGATCCTACTGCAATTTATTATTATTATTATTATTATTATTATTATTATTATTATTATTATCTGTCCTTTGGCTTCCTAGCGGAACATAGGGTTTCAGTAGAACATAGCCAGCCTCTTTAACCTGGCTGCACAAGCTTTCATTTCATCCTCACACCATCTCCTTCATTTAACCCTAGGACACCCAAGTTGTCCTTTCACGTTTTAATTCCACTTGTGGGCCTGGTATGTGGTATCTCCAAACGGTTTTCTCAGTAAATGCACAATTCATTTCCATGTTCTTCCTCTCCAGATTTGTTGGGCAATGGGTTCTTGGTTAGTTGCCAGACACAGTAATTTACTTGTTGCTTATTATTATTATTATTCTGGCCATCTGATCTTCAGCAATCAACCAGCGTAGGCAGCTGTTGATGAATGTGTGTAATTTGTTGGAAATGCTTTCCATGATGCGCCAAGTTTCTGGACCACATAGAAGCACTGACCTACTTGACTGAATCAGTGTTGAAAATCCGGATGTTGTTCTTGCTTTATGCTGAGTGTAGTGCAGTGCAGTGTAGTGCAGTGCAGTGCAGCATATCTCCACACTGATTTCATACTGATAAAGGAAAGTGTGTCTTGTTGTCTTTCCGATCGTGACTGCTTTGACATCCTCATGTGTGCCTGTGCTGCTGCCTGTAGTTGAGAGGATGCTGTCTAGGTGTGTAGGTGTTTAGGTGGGTAGGTAGGTAGGTGAAAGAGACAACTCTCCTTAAATTTCTATCGTTGATGGTGATTGCAGCTTGTGATTGTTGTTGTTCTTGTTGGTTGGGTATCTTCATCACCTCTGTCTTCTCTACGTTCGTTTGAAGTGTTGTTTTTGCTGCCTCTTCTATCAGGTTGTTGGTTTTTGCCTGTAGATCTTTGAGTTTGTGCTGCATGATATTAGACATGAATTAATATGGTTGAAATGCGAATCTTGTAGAGTTTTATCATCGGTTAAACAGCGTATGCCCATCTCGTTCATGACTGTTTGTTGTATGATTTAGTGCAGTCAGCCACAGGCATGAAGATGATCGGTTACAGTAGGCGGCAACCTTGTCTTACTCTTTTTTTCACTTCAAAGGCGTGACTGAGCTTTCCATCGTGAATTACTTGGCGTGAAGCATGGTCATATTGCTGTTGAATGAGGTTGATAAATATTTGTGGTACTAAGTACTGTTGAGGCAGCTACCTGCCAAATTACTTCTCGGTCGACTCTGTCGAAGATCTTTACAAAGTCGATAAAGTTTAGGTACAGATTTGACATTCTGCTATTCTATGCTCTGTTCTATGATAATTCGTAGCGTTGCAATTTGATTCTCCCTAATTTGTACTTCCTGAATCCAGCCCGTTCCTGTCATAATTTTGAACGCAGAGCATTTCTTAATCTCTCTAGGATGATGCGGCTTAATATTTTTTGCTTGGGGTGGACAGGAGCATGATTCCGCCCCAATATTTGCAAAGGCTTAGGTCTTTCTTGTTTGGGAGTTCTGCAAGGTAGCCCTTCATCCAGTTGGCAGGTAACTTTCCTTACTTCCAAACCTTCAGTGATAGTGTGTGAACATGTCTGCTGTTGTCTTTGTGTCTCTTTTCAGTGCTACTGGTAGAATTCCATCTGGTCATGCTGCTTCACAGGATTTCAGCAACTTTATGACGTTCCAAACTTGTGCTTCTGTTGCAGGGTTTGTGTTTACTGGTAGTTCTGCGGTTGCTGGCGGTATTTCTAGACGAGTTAGAGGTAGTGGTGGTGGTGATCGATTCAGGAGTTTTCGAAGTGGTCAACCCATTGTTTCCTTTGTTTCCCCCCCTTTGATAACTTAGTTTCCTTCACTATCTTTCACTGGTATCATGTGTGTTGATCTCTTCGCTTCCAGGTAGTAACCCGGTTATTTGATACAATGTTATCAGGTCTCTCCTACCTGCAGCCTGTTCTGCTTCACTTGCCAGTGTTTCGTAGAAGTGTCTTTTGTCTTTCCAAGCGCTCTTCTTCACCTCCTTGTTGAGCGCTTTATATGCTGTGATCAGTTCCTTTATTCATGCTTCATGTGAGCACTATACTGTTTCATCTTCTGCTTCATATTCTTCCTCTCCTCTATCAGCTTCCATGTCTCTGTGGAGATCCATTCCTTGTCTTCTTTCTTCTTCCTTTTAAACACGGTTATGCAGGTTTCCTTTCACGTCAAGTTTACAGAGTTCCGGAGTCCTTCCACGTAGATTTCCTCGGTAATGTTGCTTAATGTCTCCCACGTTTCCTGATGACTGATGACGTGAAGATGTCCTTTGTAGTTTCATCCTTCAGTTTCTGTTCTGGGTGTTGAATTCGAACTGCGGTGGTCTATCACCAGCTTCTTTGAAGGCTTTCAACTTGATTTTGAAGGTAGATTCCTTGCACCAGATACTAAGTGGTGTGAACCACCTACATCTGCTCCCCTTCTTGATCTTGTATCCAGTAGACTGTCTGCGTCTGCACTTTCTTCAGATTGAGATGAAGTCGATCTAATTTTTACTGTGTCCATTTGGTGAAATCAAATTTATGTCGCTTTGTGGATATCCTTGTGCTTGAACACAGTGTCTCCAATCACTAAATCGTTAAATAGGCAGAAGTCTGCAAACCATTCTCCATTCTCTTTCATTTCACCGAGCTTTTCTTCACGCTTGGTTAGTTCTCTTCCTGTGTTGTCCGCTCCCATTTTGGCACTCATGTCACTTATTGGAATTTTAATTTCGCCAACTGGGGTGGGGACTTGTCCTGTAATGACTACAGTTGTCTATAGAGTTCCTCCTTCTTCTCTTGGTGTATGTCTGCATTATTTGTAGGTGCGTAGTGTAAAATTGTATGGTTGTAACTTTCCTTCCTTTTGAGTTGAACTTTGCTGTCATGATCTTGATCCTGGAGGAGATTGGTTGCCACTGCATGAGAGCCTTTGATGCTGTTGAGGACATCGTGATAGCCACCTCTTCCGTGTGTTCGTGGTTATCGTTTGGGTGACCGAAGTAGATTATTGACTCCTCTCCAGTAGACAGTTTGGAGAGTCCACCTCGATTCCATCTGCTTTCGCAGATTCCAAGCACTTCTATGCCATATCTTCTCATCTCTTTTGAAATCTGGGCAGCCTTGGTAGCTTCATACATGATTCAAACATACAATGTCCCCATTCTTACTTTCGCTCTCATCGAGAGAAGAGGAGACATATCGGTCAGTTGGCTTCCTGAAAGCTTTCATCAATCGGAGTCATTTCGTCTCCCCAATTCCAGCATGGAATAAGTTTATTTTTATTTTTTACATTTTTCGGTGCATTGAGGTTTTTTAGCGATTGGACTGGTTTTACGGGTTAGGGTTGCTAGCCTTTACCCGGGCTTAGGACTGGCTAGTAACTAATGAATTAGTTAACTAGGCGAGGTTAGATCCTACTCCTACCCAGTGTATAATTCAATCACAGGCAATATCGTGGTATCCGCATAGAAGCTCATATGATAACAGACACCATTCAATTAGGTTCAATCAACGACGGTATAATACTACAAGCGACAATACCTTTCTTATGGACTCTAGTTTAGAAAACAAGTAAAAATAGCCAATTATCATTGTTGTCATAACAATGTATCTTATTTATAAAAGCATTCCACTTTATTCTTGATTACATTTCCTGGTAAGCACTAAATTAACATTTTGCTTCAGTTAAGTTTCTACAACCAACATAATCATTTTCCTTATCTTTTACTCTATTGATTACCTTAGAAAGTCATGATTGAAACCAATGTCATCAATGAGTATATCTTGACTGCTTAGCAGTAATGACTATATATATCTTCATTTAATGTCTTATGTACAAACATGTCTCTATGAATCACTTCAAATACCATTTTTCTGTTCAACAAAAACATGATCATATCAAAATAACTCTGCTATATAGATTTGTGTTTTTGTCGTGTGATTTATAAAAGTGGTGAGAATTAAAATGCTTCAATGTACAGATTTAAGATTAACACCTTTCACAAATTTAAAAGACAAGTATATTTAGCAATTTACAATAGGAGAGAAGTAATTTATCCATATAATATTGAATTTTGACTTCTAAATGAATAAGTTTTGAGGAAAACATAAGATTAGTCAAAGTATTTAGTTATAGTAAAGATGGATAGTGGCTAGCAGTAGAATTCAAGATGGGCACTTCGTCCTATTTGGGACTCGTCAGCTGGATGTACCTGCCTCCCAGTGAGTGGGGTTTTTCCCACAAAGTATTTAGTGTCTTAAAGGTAGGAAATAAGAAGAATGCAACCTGAGATTATTATTATTAGAACACAAACGTGGTACAACAAGGGTACCAAAAAATAAGCCGCACAAAATAATATAATGACATTATGAAGATATAAAGCCAAGGGAAGTGGACAAAAATAAAACACTATGAGGAATAGAATGATGAGAAAGGTAGTCCATTAAGAGATACTCAAAACAAGCATTCATTACTTTTCGGTAACAGAAGATAGGAGAAAGCTATAGCATTATCGTCACGGGTTTCATTTCTGAGATACGTCTGATAACATCTGAAGTTCAGTGAGTTGCGTGGTCTGTCGTGATACACCAACAGAAGAGAACCTGATACAGCTATCCTTCATCCCACGGTGCCATGTTATACACTGATCACTTCTCCGCTTTTTCCAGTAAGTTCGGTGTGGAAGCTGTTTGAACGACATTAATAACATATGTCCAAGCCACTGAAGCTGACTTGACCTGTCAAATGACGATCTTCATAATGCTCAAACAAACGATGTCGTGCCTCAGAATTGTATACATAGTGTTACCACCAGATATGAGCAATCCTAAGGGGACAACAATGGTTGACCACACAGAGTTATCACTCATCCTCAGCTGAGAGCAGAACTGCTAGCACCAAAACGTTGTAAACCTGACCTTTTACAAACAGACTAATGTCACAATGGTGCCAAAGGTGTCCCAGATTGACATATGCCACTATGGCTTTCAAAATTCAGTTGGAAATTTTATCACACACCTCCTCCATCGATCGCATAACTACCAAGATACGTGAACTTTTTGACTACTTTCAATAGCTCATCAATAAGGGTGAGCGCTGGCACAGGCTCTTGCCAATGTTACAAAAGTGCTTCTCATTTTTAACATACTTATGGATACTAAGTATGGAACATGAGATAAAGAATTAGAAACTATATAATACTTTATATGAGATATTTTTAAGTCGAACACACTGGCGGAAAATGATTCACTCTCTCGAAGAATAGAAGCGATCTTTGTTTAGCCAGCTTATAGGTTCAAATGTGTATATTACTTCAGATTTATTTACTAACTTCAATAGTTCCTGTCATTTAAGTATACACATAAAAATCTATCAAGCATCAGGTCATAATAATTGGATAAGTAAAGGAGTCCGCCACCGCTCCTCTCCTAGCCTTTGTTTTAGCATCATAACACCATCTAAAAAAAATTTTCAACTAAAAAACTTTTAATTTTTCTCTGTCTTCCATGTAAAAAAACCCAATTAGATTACTGAATCAGATCGATATGCATTATTGGGCAATTTGGAACACTTAACAAGTATCTCTGATAATATTTCAATGGAGTTACAAAAAGAAATTGATGCCTATCCTGAGGATCAAATTAGTTCTGCTTGTGTCGGTAAGGTACTAGTCAGTTAATGAAATTCAAGTTATGTGTTTAAATTTAACACTTTTGGTTTCGTCGTATACTCTAAGCTGGATACCTTTATCGTGTAACTTTCAGTGTTTTTCTATACAGAGTCATCAAATGGTTATTTTGTTTGATTGTTGTGTCATTGACTGGAGAGAGCCGTTCCTCTGAGTCACCTCTGACCTTTCTGACGTTTATCATTTTTCTTATCGGTTGATAGATTGAGTCTATGCCTATGGATATATTGATTGGTGACTGACCTGAGTACCAAGCTTCTAGAAATTCCCTGATATTCTTTGTGTTTCCTCTCTCCGTCCAAAATCTCTACATTGTCAAAATTGAATTCATGTCCATAGTTGTTATCCACGTGCGTTGAAATGGATGACGAAATGTTGTGACGTTTAATAGCTTATTGGTATTCATGTAAACGAGGGCGAAGAGGTTGACAACATTGTCCAATGTCCAATGTCCGATTTGAAAAAATCTTTTAATGAAAACTTACAGAATTCGTTTCAAACTGGATTTAACAATTTCACCAACCATTTTTTCAGTTTATGTGAGCAGGGGGGTGGGGAATGACACATACATAATATAGAGCAACGTTTGAAAAACCATTCAAAACTTGGAAACACTGGATAGCTGTTTTGTTGTAGGATCAGACTATTTAGCAGTGGATACTGACGACCCTGGCAGTGATGTAATCCAGAAGTTTTGAGTTTAACACTGAGGATATTTTCATTCAGTCACAGGATTGAAATTCAATGGCTTGCATTTTGACAGTGTGACGCATCCACTATATATTACCAGTGGTAAGCATTCACTCTCAAACCTGATTCAGTAAAACTCTCTGAGATCGATTTCGATGCAAGTGGCTAGTGGGATCCTGAAAGTAACTCAAAAGAGGGTTTTTGTGGAATAGTTGACAGACTTAGAAAAGTGAGCCACTGAATTTCAATCGAGTGGTTGAATGGTGAGATACTTGCCAAGTGAAATGATGATCCCAGACCCTATTGTTTTTGATATCATGAGTGTCTACTGCTGGCGAATCCCAAGCTATGACTGAAACAGCTATTCAGTGCTCCCAGGTTCTCCAACTGATTTAAATCCGTGAAGTATACTATTTATATCGTTGACTTACAGAAGTAGGATCATTGGATTCCGATCCAATGGTTCAATGGTAACGTGCTGGCCACGGAACTTGAAGGATCAAAAGGTCCGGTCCTTGATGAGGCCATGGCTGCGTACTGCTAAAGAGTTCTATACTAGACAGACGAAACAGTGGTCCAGTGCTTGTAGGCGGAGATTTTTAAGTCTGCACAAAAGACAGAATGAATCGACTGAGTATACCATTATAAATTTTTCGGTAAAACATCACTAATTTGGATGAAACATTTGAATCGACTAGCCAATAGCTCAGTTAAAAGCACCTTACTAGTTTCCAGCAATGAGTTTTTTTTTCATATTTAACTGACAGTTTTATCTGAAAGTATCCGGAAAACAACACTAAAACTTTTCTTTCCACCTTTTATACAGCTAAATGCATGAATTCGTCAAAATCATCTTTAAATGAAGCTTTGAAGGCATACATTGTAAACTTTTCAGTAGATGCTTCAACTAAGGTGAGTTAATGTCGAAAAGATGTTGATAAATATTGAGTAACGGTTTTCTCAGTGTTATCTTTCTGAACTTAATTACATTCAAATATAATCCACTATGGGATGGTGTTTTTCTTGACAAAATCCAAACGTTGCCTGATATATATATATATATATATATATATATATATATAAATTGTTATTGAAATAATGTAGCTCAGGTGGGTGGTCTTGGTTGTATTATGTTCTCTGAACACGGGTTGTTTAATCGTGAAGTTTTCATCGTCTTGCTAGACAGCGATGTCATCAGCATTAACTTCACTATGAAGTGAACCGTCAATATCTCCAAGTCAGTGATTTAGTAGCTTGCTTTGACGATGTGGTCTGTGATTGGTTATTTCTTTCGATTGTTGCGTCATTGACTGTATAGACTTTTCTGTTGGCTGTTCCTCTGCGTCACCTCTGACCTTTCTGACGTTTATCATTTTTCTTATCGGTTGATAGATTGAGTCTATGCCTATGGATGTATTGATTGGTGACTGACCTGAATACCAAGCTTCTAGAAATTTTCTGACATTCTTTGTGTTCCCTCTATCCAACCCACACTTCTACATTGTCAAAATTGAATTCATGTCCATAGTTGTTATCCACGTGCGTTGAAATGGATGACGAAATGTTGTGACGTTTAATAGCTTTTGTTGGTCATGTAGACGAAAGCGAAGAGGGCGACCACTTTGTCCAATGTAGTGTTGACTACAGTTATTCCAGTTGATTTTGTGAATGATATTCGGTTTGTCTTCTTTGATTGTTGTTGCATGCTTTGGTCTACACAATAGTGTTTGCATGGAATTTCTCGGTTTATGAGCTGCATCAATTCCAAGTGGCCTCAGCAATCTTGTCGTGATTTCTGATATATTCTTTAGTGCTGATGATGTCGTCTAGCAAAACGATGAAAGCTTCACGATTAAACCACCCAGCTCAGAGAGCACAATACAATTAAGAATTATTGTTATTATTAGTATTTGTCGCTTAGGTTCCTAGTGGAACATAGGGCTTCACTACCATGTATCCATTCTACTCTGTTCTCTGCGATCTTTTGAACCTGGCTCCACTACTGCCCACAAGCTCTCATTTCGTCCTTGTATGATCTCCTCTATGTCACCTTCACCTCGGACGCCCAACTCGCCGTTTCCCATTTGGGTTCCACTCGACGGCCTGACCTGGAGCGTGATGTCTCCAAATCGTCTTCTCAGTGTATGCCCAATCCATCTCCCCTTCCTTCTGCATATTTGTTGAGCGATAGGTTTCTGCCTCGTTGGTTCGTTCCCAGAGTTCTTTGTTGCTATATATATAATTCATAATTCATTAACTGGATAGAACTTGGAGAGTTGCATCAGTCAAAACGGTTAGAAGGTTTTGGTCGCAAGTGTCTTTATAGAGTTGATTGCGTTTGGTGGGATCATCACGTGAACAGTGAAGAGGCTAGGGGAAGAGTACTAAGCAAGATAGGTGAGGCTATTTATCAAGTTGGCTTGGACATGTATTGTGCATGCTGACCCATCACTGCAGTTGAATTTGGTTTGAAGATGGTTGATGGTGGTCAGACGAAGACGTGGCACAAGATGAAGTCCCTAACTGTTGATCTGAGTCATGTAAGGAAAAGTAGACTAACTTAATGTGGTCAGCGAAACGACAGGAACCAGTGGTTGGGACAAGGCTACAAATCAGTCATAATGGAGCAGATGTATTAAACTGTTGGCATCTTCTGAAGTTTGAATGTTTTCATTAACGTTTATCTTCAGATTGGCTATTCTATCACCCAACTTTGTCCACTATGACATTACTCTTATTTAATCTACCTGTTCTTTTCGTGCTATTATGAAGTGTAGCAACTTGAAGTGATGGATCACTTGTTTGCGAGGTTCTACGTTAATTTTGTCTATCTGTATGTAATTAGAAATACATTGTTTTTCTATAACTTTGAATGATATTGTAGATCACTAATTTTTTCCACATTCTAAACACTTTACTGCATATCATAACTTTACCATTCACATTAAAAGTATTTTAATCAAAGTTAATTGTCTAAGGAATCGTGAACTTCCTTTTCATTGTCTACCTGCGTGTAGTCAATACACCTTTATAATGTTCACAATTTACACGGTGTTACTTTGTGAAATGTGAGGGTTTTCTTATCGATCAGGTATTATAAACAGCTATGGTGGTTTACTGGCTTATGATTGGCAGAGGAATCCAAGGCGTGCTTTTCGTCCTATTTAGAACTCTTCAGCTGGATATACCTGCACCCCAATGGGGAATGATGTTAGTCCCACTGATTCTTTGAACCTGCTACCCATCACTTCAAATTCCAAGGCGTTATTCACTGTGCTACATAGGCACAATAGCCATTTCTTGTACAATGGGTATTAGTTATTACTATTTATTTATATACTTGTAATTTTCCGTTGTTTTGTTGGACCGAATTATTCGACCTTTATTGGTATATGGGCTCCTATGCGGATGCCTCGATACTGCCTGATTGAGAAGCTACTATGGTACCTCTATGGCGTAGTGGATAACGCCTTGGCATTGGAGTGATAGGCATAAGGTACGAGTCTCATTGGAAACAACAGCACTCACTGGGGTGTCAATAAGTGTTTGCATATTAACTGTATCTTGTTTGTGAAATACAACTTCTCACTTAGTTCTATCTGGTGGTTTGTGGAGGTTTATCGATTGATTTTAGGTTGAAATTCATCATGAACTGACATCATTTGGAAGAATAATAGAAATCTAGAAGCACTGGACTGCTATTCCGTCCTAATATGGGACTCCTGAGCAGTGAGCACACATGACCCACCCCGCCCCACCGAGTATCGAACCCAGGACCATCAGGTTCCGTGGCCAGCACGATACCTTGAGATACCCACTGGGTTGATATGATATAGCGCGACCTACATCCAATGTCATGGTTGGAGTTCATCATTATCACTGATGACAGATGATTCCCGAAGCTCCAATTAGAAGTCATGAACAGTGGGATCAAGCAACTGGAAAATGAGGACAGTTACTCGGCTACAACATTGTGTGTATGTTGAGCTGTGTCATGAACCGACAAAATTAGAAAATGTGGACGATTGGATTTTGACTCAGCGGTTAGGTCAATGATAACGTACTGGCCACGGAACCTGCAGGTCATGGGTAAGCACTGCTGAGGTACCCATACTAGTCGGAGGAAGCAGCTGAGAAGGTATTAAGAAGCTTTATCGCTGTGTCACTGAATAAACTAACTGGATAATTGAGATAATTAGATTCAGTTGGACGACAGTATATAAGTTGTTCAATGTGAATGTTATCTGAAGGGGTTAAAGAACACTGTTCCGCATGGTTACAAAGAGGTAACTATTGTTGAAAGAAATATCTCATGGTCAATAGCATAAACCTAGAGATGGTACTACTTTCTGATTATACAATCAGTAAATTTGACACAATTAAATGTCGATTATATACTAGGCTGGTAAGCATATTTCTTCATTCTACGGTATAGTGTAGACATACTTTGATGCAGTTTAAATCAAAGTCAAGCTTAACAATACAATTAATGAAGCTCCCAGTCATCAGTATCGGTGAACTTAAACGGCCGTTCAATGGTTTCAAGGTCTCTGAAAAACTCCCGACACTACTCAAAGTGTATGGAGTTATCCTGAAAGTTTGGATGTTTATTGAATGCGCACAAAACTTCCCGAAGTGTCGGTAATATGCCTAAAGATTTTGAATAACCCATATCCCAAGTTATGAGAAGGCATATCCCATAATATTGTTATATAAATATTTGACGTTTATATGCCAAATATGTTCATGTTACAGAAATCAAATAAATATTAATGGCCAACTGAAATATTTGTGAAATTTAAGATGATTGTTCAAAAGTTGGTAAGTGCGCCCGAAGTAAATGCTGCCTGGGATACTACCTAAAAATACTAGAATTCTTTAAAACAATACAACTTTGTATTCAAGAATTAATCTTCTGCTTATCGTCTACAATAAAATATGTGTAAAATATACTCATAACAATTTCAAGGAAGAATAAGTAGGCATTTCAGTGAAGATTCTCTTTTCCACGATTTCATTTTCAAAGCTGTACAATCACAAATCTTACACATTTTCTTCTAGTGTAAGAATTTGATAGTTAAAAAGGGCTTGTTAAGAATGCCAAGCAACACAAATTATTATTATTTGTTCCTTGGGTACCTAATGGAACATAGGGCTTCAGTAGCACGTCTCCACTTCACTCTGTTCTCTCCAGTCTTTTGAACCTGGCTCCACAACAGACCACAACCTCTCATTTCTTCCTCACACCATCTCCTCCATGTCATACTCACCTCGCACGCCCAACTCGTCACTTCTCATCTGGGTCCCACTCGAGTAACTGGCCTGGCACGTGTGTCCCCAGTCGGCCTTCTCAGTGTATGCTCAATCCATCTACACTTCCTCCCTCTGCATATTTGTTGAGCTTGGTTCGTTGCTAGCCATAGGGAGTTCCTTGTTGCTTATTCTCATTATTCTGGCAGTCTGAGCTTCAGTAACGAGTCAGTGTAAGCAGTTATTGATGAATGTCTGTAGTTTGTTGGAAATGCTTTACGTAACGTGTCAAGTCTCTGAGCCATACAGAAGCACTGATTTGATGTTGGTGTTGGAAATACAGATTTCGTTCACGCTTTATGCTGAGTTCAGGAGATCTCCATACTGGTTTCAGGTTAATGAAGGCCTGTCTCGCTTTTCCGATCGTAGCTGCTTTGACGTCCTTGTCTGTGCTTGTTCCGCCTGTAGTTGAAGCGATGCTGCCCAGCCAGATAGGTGTAGGTGAAATAGGCTACTTCCTTTAAGTTTCTCCCACTGATAGTGATTGGAGTTTATTGTTGTTGGTGGTGGCGTTGGTTGGGTATCTTCATCGCCTCCGTCTTCTCTACGTCCACTTGAAGTCCCGTCTTTGCTGCCATGTCTCACCACTTCTGTCAACTTGTCAGTTTTTCCCTGTAGATCTTCAAGTTTGTGCTACAAGACATTAGACATAAGTCATAGGTTAAATACAAATCCTTTAGGATGTTTTCCCCAGTCCAGCGTATGTCGCTCTTCTCGCTCCTCATAGTTTGCTGTATGATCCAGTCGACTGCAGTCAGGAATATCATAGGTGATAGTAAGCAGCCTTGTCTTACTCCTGTCTCCACTTCAAAAGCATCACTGAGCTTACCATTGTGAATTACCTTGCATGTTATTTCTTCATGTAGTTGTTGAGTGAGGTTGATAAAGGTTTGTGGTACTTCGTAATGTTCAAGCAGTTGCCTGAGCAATTACTTGTCCGTCGACGCCATCTAAGGCTTTTTCAAAGTCGATGAAGTTGAGGTAGATGGTTGACTGCTATTCTATACTCTGTTCTATGATGATGTTTAGCGTAGCGTTGAATTTGGTGCGCACATGATTCGTACTTCCTGAATCCAGCCTGTTCTGGTCGTAGTTTTGGATTCAGCGCATCCTTCAGTCTCTCCAGGATGATGCGACATAATATTTTGCTTGGTGTGCTCAGGTGAGTGATTCCATGCCAGTTCTTGCAAAGACTAAGGTCTCCCTTCTTCGAAAGTTTGACAAGGTAACACTTTTTCCAATCTGCAGGTACTTTTCCTCCCTTCCACACCTTCTGGAGTAAAGGAGATGTGAGCATGTCTGCTGTTGTCTCTGCATCTGTTCTCAGTGCTTCTGGTGGGATTCCGTCTGGTCCGGCATTTCAGTAGCTTTATGGTGCTCAGGACTTCCACTTTGAACAGATGGCTTGTGTTCACTGGTAGTTTGGAGGCTGGCCTGAAGGTGGTATTTCTGGACGAAGTGCAGGTGGTGATCGAAGGCAACACAAATAGTGTCAATAAATTTTGTCATTAAAATTTTAAAAACCACCGAAAAACTGATGAGTAGTGAATATTAATCAAAATAAGTTTGAACAAGAAGTTTAGAAACTAAATTGTGATCAGCCAAAGTATAGCAGCAAGAATGAGTGTCAAATAACTTAAGTAGTGAATAGTGTCGAAACAGAAAAATGGAAGGAAAAAAAGGGGGTAAGGAGTAGAGGAGACTGAAAGATAAGACTATGAAACGAGAAGCGGGTGAACAATTTTCTTTTGTGTACGCAGCTCAGGCTTCTCCATTTGGATGGCAAGAGCTTTGACGATGCAGAGGATACGAAGATAGACAACCTTTTCACTTGATAAGTGACTTTAAACGAGCAGGTTTCAGAGATAGAGTGATTTGTCTTCACGATGTGTTCAGTTACAGCACACCTTATAGTTCCATTGTTACCTCTTTGTAACCATGGAGGATAGTGTTCTTGAATCTTTTTGGATAACACAGTTACATCGAACGACCTATATACCTGGCTCCACAACAGTAGGTGATACAAGCACATAGAAGTGGTCAGATGTAAATCTTTGAGAGACAAGAGGATGCTAATCTCACCGTTGATGCAAAGAATGTTCTTCTTGGAGAGTTTGATATCCTCCACTTGAGAGTGTTAATGCTAGAATAACCATTGAAGTTGAGATTCATATACAGTGATAAGGTTCTCCTTACCAGGTTTACGTTTGATATGTTTGTCTATGATGACAATCTGTTTCCAATCAGGATATTCTTTACAACAGAAATTTCTCCTTATAATACATAATAAGATATTGTCATATTCTAGAGTAATTAAAGTAAAACTGTTCATGTTTATTTTTCATTTGAAAATTTAATAATTTCATATTGGTTTATTTTTGTTTTTCTTTATAGAGTCCAGAAATCCAAAAATATGCATTGATAGGTTTGAAACAATTGCAAAATGAACGACCAAATGTATTGACTTTAAATAATGAACTGATTAAACCAGTTCAACGATTGGTTAAATTGAAACAGTTATTCGAATTACTTAAAGAGGTGAGTGTGTGTATCAAGATGAGATTAAAAGACCTATTGTATCATGTATATATCCAGTCCAACTGTTCCTGTTGGAATAAGTTACAGCATGCGGTGTATATTAATAAATGTATCAATCTCAGGATAAAAGAACATCTGACAGCTTGATTTATAGAGAGTAAAATGAAATTTATTAAAAGTTCTATACAAGTACATCTGGTAGATACAGAAAAGCATAATAAAAACTGTACTAGCATCTACTTCAACTTGATCGCCTATGAAAAGACTTATGATAGCGTCAACCAAGAAGAAATTTGGCAGGAAGCTGCTTCAACAATACGCAGTATTACAAGCATTTATCAACTTCATTCAATAACTATATGATGATTCACAATGGAAAGCTCAGTGACACCGTTGAAGTGAAAATAGGAGTAAGACAAGGTTCCCATATACTATCACCGATCATCTTCCTCATTATGTTCAACTGGATCATACAACAAACTGTGAGGAGCGAGAAGAGAAGCATACGCTGTTTGACCGATGAATAGACCCTACAAGTATTGGATTACGCCGATCATGATTTGTGTCTAATGTCTTGTCACACAAACTCAAAGATCTACAGGCAAAAACCAACAAGGTGAGGGGAGTAGCAGCAAAGACGAGACTTCAGATGAACGTCGAGAAGACACAGGTGATGAAGGTAACCAAACAACAACAAAAACATCAACAAACACTCATCATCATCAATAGGAGAAACCTAAAGGAAGCACCCTCTTTCACCTTTCTAGGCAGCATCGTTTCAACTACAGGTGGCAAAGATGGAGACGTCAAAGCAGTCAAGATAAGAAAGATAGAAAGACATGCCTTCTTCCAATAATCTGAAATCAGTGCAGTGCACTGCACTCAGCATAAAGGGTGAACAATATTCGAATTTTCTAAACCAATTCACTCAAAGAGGTCAGTGCTTCTATGTAGTTCAGAAACTTGACGCATCACGAAGAGCATTTCCAACAAACTACAAACATTCATCAACAGCTGCCGCCTACGCTCACTTCATACTGAAGATCAGATCAGATGGCCAGAATAACAAGAATAAGCAACAAAGAACTCACTGTGTCTGGCAAAGAACTAGCCAACCAAGAACCCAATGCCTAACAAATACGCAGAGGAAGAAAGTGGAGATGGATTGGATCGGATTGGATTGAATATACAATGAGATGACCATTCGGGGACATCACGCGCGAGACCGGGCCAGGTTGTCGAATAGAAGCCAAGAGTGGAAGGACGAGTTGGGTGTCTGAGGTGAGGGTGACATGGAGGAGATGGTGTTAGGAAGAAATGAAAGCTTGTGGGCAGTTGTGCAGGCAGGTTAAAGAGACTGGATAGAAGAGAGTGAAATGGCTATGTTCTACTGAAGCCCTATGTTCCACTAGGAGCCCAAGGGAGAAATAATAAAAAATAATAATACAGTTTTTACTTTGATACTCCATGTTCCGGAGCCAGTCAGGCAATCATTCGTCTGCGCATTTTCCATATACCAGAAAATGTAGCTATACATTTAGAAAATGTTCAAGCCTTATTCCTTCTTTGGCCTTCTGTGAGCTTTCTTGACATTTTTTTTATTCTATTCCCTCTTTCAAATATATGTAATGTGACAATGCAAATTCCTTTCGAAAGATATTGTGGAATATGATAGATGATTGTGAACGCCTTAGTCTTATCTATTACATAAGCACTTTCAACCAAATATGAACTGTGTATTGATTTCATATATTTGTTTTCTATCCATGATAGTATGTGCTTAGTAACACGTTCGTAACGCTGCTTAGTTGTACTCCTAATGTAGGTTTATCCACGGGAACAACTTGATTGATAAATACACATAGATGTAAGAGAACTGACAGAAATTATAATTTTGATAATGAAAGTTTTTAATACTTTGATTACAACTATTTATTGACATACTTGTTATTCTCCGTTGTTTGTTGTATTGGATCAAATTGTTCGACCTCTATTAGCATATAGGTCTTATGCGGATGCCTCGATATTGCCTGAATGTTAATTAGGATAATTTGGTTGGTTATGTCTAGCAGAAGAATACAGCTTGACGCGCGTTCCGTCCCATTCGCTACTCGTCAGCTGGATGTACCTGCACTATATTGTGGAGTGATGCTATTCTCACTGATACTCGAATCTCGTACCCATAGCTTCAAATGCCAAGGCGTTATCCACTATTCCATTGAGGTGCAGGTTCATCCGGCTGACGAGTAGCGAATAGGACGGAACGCGCGTCAAGCTGTATTCTTCTGCTAGACACAACCAACCAAATTATCCTAATTAACATCCAGGCAATATCAAGGCATCCTCATGGGAACCCATATGCTAATGGAGGTCGAACAATTTGATCCAATACAACAAACAAAGGAGAATAACATGTCAATAAATAGTAATAACTAACACTTGTTGCGCGAGAAGTGGCCATTGTCCTTCCGTGGCATAGTGGATAACGCTTTGGCGTTTGAAGCGATGGGTTTGAGGTTCGAGTCTCAGTGAGAATAACACTACTGGGATGCAAGTTCATGCAGCTGACGAGTCCCAAATAGGACGAATCTCGTGTCATGGACTCTTCTTCTAGCCACAACCAACCAAACTTTTTTTCGGGTTCTACAGTTATAAAATCATAGAAGTAGTCAAATTTGTGATGAATTCATTCTAGAATACATATGAAATTTTAATTATGGTACTATTATTTTTGTTAAGGTTAGTGTAACTGATAAATGATAGGATGGATCCATAAAACGATCTGCCTACGGAAAACCTCTATGGATACAGTATTTTTTGAACTGTGACAGCTTTTGTCCAGTTTAGTACAGGTGATCGTTAGTTAGGTGCTTATTCAATAGAATTCACGGGATATGTAGAGATGATACTTTAGAAGACGAGAGAAGAATATTCACTGAAATAGTGTTGGAAAATAACATTCCAGTAAAATTTATTAGTCAGCAAAATATAACCACAGCGCTAAAAGTAGCTCTTCCTTTCTTCTCAAAGAAAAAACTTCATCAGTGTTCTGTATAAAAGTGTCTCTCATAGCACAGTTCTTAACCCAACAGTCAGTGGTGCTGTTAGGAGGACCTCGTATGCAGCTAAGATTCGATTGATAGAAACCACCAAGCCTGTATATTCTTCGAAAACCTTATAGCATATGAACAACAGTGTCACATCCGATTGCATTTACCAATTCAAATGTACGTGTAGTGACACTGACATAGAAAGGACTCATAGACGCATGCCAACAGATGACCTGGGAATATATAGCATAGTGATTTCATAACCAGATTGAATCATCTGAACCCGTAAACTTTCGTAGCACATACAAAAATGAAAATAAATAACCATTCGCACCCACACGATTTCTTCACAGCATAGTGGAGAATATTTGTAGCTCAGGTGGATGGTCTTGGTTGTATTGTGTTCTCTGAGCTGTGTTGTTTTATTGTAAAGCTTTCATCGTCCTTCTAGACGACATCATCAGCACTGACCAAGCAGATGAGACATCATGCTCAAAAATGCAGAGGGATTACTAAAAGATGAAAATGTATATCAACTGTTTGAAACCAACCCTATCCAGAAGTTTAAAAACCAGATCAGTAAAACCTTGAACAAACTCATCAAAGCAAGACAAATGGAGAATGGAATCGAATAGATCTGTCCTTCTTTGGTTCTACGGCAGACCGAAACTACACAAAGCAGACATCCTTCTACGACCAATTGTCTCACTTCCGGCAACTCTAACATACAACAAATCACGAGGACTTTCGAGAAAACTGAAGCACCTCATTCAAACATGCGGACATTCCATCAAATCAACAACAGAGGTCTTAGATAAGATCAAAAGCATTAATATAGAAAACGACGAATTACTGGCATCCTTCGATGTCGCAGCACTATACACATCCATCGAACCCCAGTTGGCCAAAGAAACTATGTCTCTCCTGCTCACTGAAGACACAAGTCTTTCAGAGAGCACAAAAAGTAAATGTTCAACTCTGATGGAATTCATCGACCTTTGTTTGACAACATACCTCCAATTCAACGGCAAGATATACAAACAGATGAAAGGAACTACAATGGGATCATCAATATCCGGACTAATTTCAGAAACAGTGATGCAGAGACTCGAAGCAATCATCCTGAATGTGATCTCATTAAAAATTTGGATTCGCAGTTTGGACGACACTTTTGTCATCATTGAAAAGATGATATAGAAAACACCCACAATTCGATAAACGACGTCTTCGGTGACATCAAATTCTCAATGGAGAAGGAGTCGAACAACCAACTACCATTCCTGGATGATTTAGTCAGTAGGACAAATGTGGGACAGCTGGAAACCCAACTGTACACGAAGCCAACACACACTGACCAAGTCCTCAACTACAGTTGCAACAACCTCAAAGATCAGTTGTGTGCAGACTCTATTCAGAAGAGCGAGAAAACACTGCAGTACAACAACTTCACGGGGAAACGAAGAAAGTCACTTGATGTCCATCCAAAGAAGAAGGGCTACCCAAAAACTTTATCACAAAATGCCTACCCCGTACATCTTCAACTACAAAGTCATCAACACAAATCAATAAACGCATCGTCCTACCATACATAAAGAACACACATATCAAAAATCATGACAAGATTACTGAGACCACACGGTGCAATTGATATGTCTCATTAACCAAGAAATTCCCTACAAACACTATTGTGTAGACCAAAGCATGCAACAACAATCAAAGAAGACAAACTGAATATCATTTACAAAGTCAACTGCAATAACTGTAGTCAATACTATATTGAAGAAAGTGGTCACCCTCTTCACCTTCGTCTACATGTCCACCAGTTGGCTATTAAACGTCACGACATTTCATCACTCATTTCAATGCATGTGAATAATTATGGACATGAATTCAATTGAATTTCGACAATGTAGAAGTGTTGGATGGAGAGAGTGAACACAAAGAATATCATCAGAGAATTTATAGACGCTTGGCATTCACTTCAGTCAGTCAGTAATCAATAAATGTACAGACATAGACCCATTCTATCAACTAGTGAGAAAAATGATGAAGGACAGAGGGTCAGAGGTCAAGTGGAGGAACAGCCAACAGGAGAATCAATACAGTTAATTGAAGGAAACAACCAACCATAGACCACATCGTCAGAGCAAGCTACTAAATCACTGACTTGGAGATATTGACAGTTCACTTCATAGTGAAGTTGATGCTGATGATATTGCTGTCTAGCAAGACGATGAAAGCTTCACGATTAAACAATCCAGCTCAAAGAACACAATGTAACCAAGTTCTTCACAGCACGTTAATGAGACATTCATTGAGATACTGATATCTGACTTCATGTTGAATTTAGTACCGAAATACAGTGAAAGCCTCAGGAATAAACCAGCTAGCTGTATGAACATACAACAACTAACTTCATCCACCTCAGGTGAAAATATTCAACACCATTTCTCGATGTAATGATTATTAGCACATAAGATATTTGGAAATTTAGTGTGTGAATAGTAGTAATCTGTGCAGCACTGTCAACAACAATCCGTATTATATGTTACACAACTAATTTTGAGAAGGGGTAGGAAATGTTATTTGAGAATATTATTAATTATATTTAATTCAAGAGTTATGTAATTAAAAATAAAGTGAAACATTGTCACATTATATTGACCAAGGTAGTGAGAAACTAGCCATACTCTCCTTCAATATGTAAAGGTTAGGTTAAAAGCTAAACTTGTATAATTCAATTTGTTATTCATCGTAGACTGACATCAGTTGGAGGGATAAAAGAAACCTGGAAGCACTGGACAGCTGTTTCGTCCGACTAGTATATAACTCCTTAGAAGTGCGTATCCACGACTTCAGCAGCCAGGGATCGGACCCGTGACCTTCAGGTTCTGTGGCCACCATGTTACCATTGAGCTGGCCATTGGGTCACAATCCAATCGTCCATATTTTCAACTATTGTTAGCTCACAATATAGCGCAACCGCCACCTAATGTCATCGTTGAGTAACTGTCCTCACGACCATCAGGCTTTGCCCCCACCAGTTACGACTTCTCATTGGAACTTCGGGAATCATTTATCGAAGCTAGTCACCAATGAGCACTAGTTCAATTGAATTTTGAGGGAGTTGTGTGAAGTTGGAAATATTTCAAGTTGTTATTCATCCTAGACTAACATCAGTCGGAGGAACAAAGGAAACCTGGGAGTACTGGACATATGTTTCGTCCTAGTATGTTACTCTTTAGCAGAGCTAGCAGAAGTTGTTAATATGGATGTTTGGATGCTGACCTAATGGCCAGCTCAACGGTAACGTGCTGGCCACAGAACCTGAAGGTCGCTGGTTTGATCCCTGGGGGGTGGGGGTCGTAGGTGCGCACTTCTGAGGAGTTGCATACTAGGTGGACGAAACAGCTGTCCAGTGCTCCCAGATTTCCTTTTGTTCCCCCCAACTGATGTCAATCTACGATGAATAACAGCTTGAAATTTTTCCAAATCCTCACAACTCCCTCAAAATTCAATTAAACTTGTATAAGTTTACACTACGATCTGAAAATTCTTTAATTAACCTGCTCATGTCATCTCCAACTCTAAAGAGTTGACATACACTTATGACAGCAAGTAAATTTGAAGAACTGACATGAGAAAATTCATTCAGTTCATTGAGCAAATCCACAAAAATCTATGCTTAAAAGGATTTTTCAAATTCTAATACTGTACATTTAGCTGTCAGACACTTCGTAGACAAAGGAATTTAGGTTGAAGTCTCTACTACTTTCAAATTAATAAACGTACAGAAAATGCCTAGATTACTCCACTTGGAGGAAACGATAGCTAATATTGTATTAAGTCTCTTTCGAATAGTTTTCGACAATTAGCTACATTAAGATGTATCCAATTTTAAACTTCAATGCATGTTTAGTCACCGTGAAAGTATACATGCCTTTCGCATATTCGACAGGTACCTATAAAATCAGGCACTTAATGTATTTTTGAGATGAATGAGGATTTTAACATCAGTTAGGGAACCATTGAAAATCTGGAAGTATCGAACAGCTTTTTCGTTCTAGTATGGAACTTCTCAGCAGTACGCACCCATGACCCGGTTAGGGATCGAACCCAAGACCTTTGGGTTAACCATTCAGCCACTGGGTCGTTTTCCAGTGGTTCACAATTTCCAACTTCTGTCAATTCACGACATAGCGCGACTATCACCAAAGGTCTTCAGTTAACATCAGATTCACTTCCGAATGGTTGGCACTACAGGTCACAGCTTCTCATTACAACTTCATGATATCCATCTGGAAGCAAGTCACTAATGAGCACTATACAGTAATGTATTTTTCAGATGAATGGGGATTTTAATACTACTTCTAGATTAAAATGCCTATTCATCTCAAAAATGCATTGCTGTGTAGTGCTCACTAGTGACTAGAAGTATCGAACAACGTTTTCGTCCTAGTATGGAATACCTCAGTGGTATACACTTAAGATCAGGACAGGAATTGAACATGCAGAAGGTGAAGGTCTTGGCTTTTATCCTTGAGGGGGGGGGGCACGGGTGCGCACTGCTGAAGATTCCCTTATTAGAACTAAGCAACTGTCCAGTGCTCCCAGGTTTCCAGTGTTTCTCCAAATCATGTCAGTCCATGATGAATACCGACCTTAAGCTAATAAATAAATCCCTACAAAACTTTGAATTGATATATTTTCCTTAAAATGACCAGTTGCAGCTACGTGGTTGAAAGTAATCAACAGGATACCTTGAGCCTAGGTCTCACGTTTATTGTCACTCGTCAGCAGTATTATCTACTTTGCTTGTCATCCTAACACATGTAGTAAACAGACTGAAATGGGGTCATATTCCACCACAATGCCTAAGTTTACTCACCTATTCTGAGATCTCTTCAGTGACTAAGCAGTAGATCTAATCCAGTAGTACAAAAGATTAACTGCGATCTGAACAGCTCAGGTGTAACATCCCCGAATGCAACAGTTCATGATGTAGGTGTGTGGTTCTCTCGACTACATCAATTCTCTTGAGGTTCCAGGCACACTTTGCTGGAGACTCCCAACAAGTAAAAAAGTTAGATCTACCTTAGCTTCCTGAAGGTCGCCTATAACTATCTAACATCAATCAAAAAGTGACGTGATATTAAGTTTCCTATCATAACGACCACGTTACAAATTGACTAATAAAATTCGATCAGCATTCAGAATTCGACAGCATGAAGTCTATTACTCTCTAGTGAATAATCATTGTATTTAATGAATAGCTTATTTCATTTTTTCATTGTATAAATTAAACAGTTAATGAAACTTTCTGTGAAGCAAGTAGACTAAGAGTTGAATATTTATGTTGTGTAGTTAGAAACTGTCTTCGTTGTATTTTATTTTTGGAGCTAGGTTGTTTAATCGTGAAGCTTTCATCGTCTTGCTAGACAGCAATATCATCAGCATCAACTTCACTATGAAGTGAACTGTCAATATCTCCAAGTCAGTGATTTAGTAGCTTGCTCTGACGATGTGGTCTATGGTTGGTTGTTTCCTTCAATTAACTGTATTGATTCTCCTGTTGGCTGTTCCTCCACTTGACCTCTGACCCTCTGTCCTTCATCATTTTTCTCACTAGTTGATAGAATGGGTCTATGTCTGTACATTTATTGATTACTGACTGACTGAAGTGAATGCCAAGCGTCTATAAATTCTCTGATGATATTCTTTGTGTTCACTCTCTCCATCCAACACTTCTACATTGTCGAAATTCAATTGAATTCATGCCCATAATTATTCACATGCATTGAAATGAGTGATGAAATGTCGTGACATTTAATAGCCAACTGGTGGTCATGTAGACGAAGGTGAAGAGGGTGACCACTTTCTTCAATATAGTGTTGACTACAGTTATTGCAGTTGACTTTGTAAATGATATTCAGTTTGTCTTCTTTGATTGTTGTTGCATGCTTTGGTCTACACAATAGTGTTTGTAGGGAATTTCTTGGTTAATGAGACATATCAATTGCACCGTGTGGTCTCAGTAATCTTGTCATGATTTTTGATATGTGTGTTCTTTATGTATGGTAGGACGATGCGTTTATTGATTTGTGTTGATGACTTTGTAGTTGAAGATGTACGGGGTAGGCATTTTGTAATAAAGTTTCGCAGAGGAACAGACAAGAGAAAAGTCTATATAGTCAATGACAGAACAATCGAAGGAAACAACCAATCATAGACCACATTGTCAAAGCAAGCTACTAAATCACTGACGTAGAGATATTGACTGTTCACTTCATAGAAAAGTTGATACTGACGTTATCGCTGTCTAGCAAGACGATGAAAACTTCACGATTAAACAACCCGTGTTCAGAGAACACAATAGAACCAAAACCGTCAACCTGAGCTAAAAAATACTCTCCTTTGGTTAGAAGATGTATTCTTATCTTTGTTTTGAGATAGCAGATTTTTAGTACTGAGACTGGATGATGATTAAGGATGAAAGGAAGATCTGATCTGCGGCCGGATACGAATCAGCGACCACAGGGTTTCTGGTCCATTGCTGTACCAACTGAGCTACAAGGTCTAACTGCTGACCAGATTTTTATTTTACCTTTAATATTTATCCACTAAGAGTTTCAAATTGCCAACCCAACACAGATCTTCTTTCCTACATAAAAATGTATATACTTTCGCTTATGATGTTGATGTTATTGGTTCATCTAGGTAACACCTATCAACCATCCAGACTGTACTGCAACAATGCAAATGTTTGCTAATTTCAATGAACTAGCATATGAAGTGAATGAAGTGAAACGATGGAAAGATTTATGTAAGTATTCTATTGTAATTGTTAACTCTATTGACTAATTGTACAGAGTGTTATATCTCGCTGTATACCATTTTAATTTTTGTCGATTTTGAGTAATTTTAAAGTAGGAACAAATGGATCTGAAGATTGTTCAACACTAAAATTTACTGTTTTCTCAGAATTTCGTTGAATAGATAAAAAATTTTTCGGGATTTTGTTATTATCATTTGTCGCTTAGGTTACTAGTGGAACATAGGGCTTCAGTAGAACATAGCCATTTCACTCTCTTCTATCCAGTCTCTTTAATCTGGCTGCACAACTGCTCACAAGCTTTCGTTTCTTCCTAACACCATCTCCTCCATGTCACACTCGGATACCCAATTCGTCATTTCCCACTTGGGTTCCACTCCACAGCCTGAACTCGCCAGTGATTTCTCCGAATAGTCATCTCAGTGTATGTCCAATCGAATCCATCTCCAATTTCTTCCTCTCTAGATTTGTTGGGTGATAGGTTCGTTGGTTCGTTGCAGGCCAGAGTTTATTTGTTGCGTATCCTTTCAGGCTATTTGACCTGATTCTCAGTATCCAGAGAGTGTAGGCGGTAGCTGTTGATGAATGTTTGTAGTTTGTTGGAAATGTTTTTTGTGACGCGTCAAGTTCCTGAACTACATAAAAGTACTGACTTCCTTGAGTGAATGCGTGTTGAAAATCCGGATCTTGTTCACCCTTTATGCTGCACAGCAGTGCAGTATATCTCTACACTGATTTCAGATTATTGAAAGAAGGCATGTCTTGCTATCTTTCCGACCTTGACTGCTTTGACGTCTCCATCTTTGCCACCTGTAGTTGAAACGATGCTGCCTAGAAATGTGAAAGAGGGTGCTTCCTTTAGGTTTCTCCTATTGATGATGATGAGTGTTTGTTGATGTTTTTGTTGTTGTTTGGTTACCTTCTTCACCTGTGTCTTCTCGACTTTCATTTGAAGTCTCGTCTTCGCTGCTACTCCCATCACCTTATTGGTTTTTGCCTGTAGATCTTCGAGTTTGTGTTACAAGACATTAGACATATATCATAATCACCTAAATCAAAATCTTCTACAGTCTTTTCATCTGTCTTGTGTATGATCATCTCCTCACAGCTTCTCACAGTTCGCTGCATCATCTAGTCAACCTTAATCAGGAAGATGATCCGTGATAGTAGGTGGCAACCTTATCTTACTCCCGTCTTCACTTCAAGTCCTTTACTGAGCTTTGCATTGTGAATCACTTGGTATTTACCATCACACAACTGTTGAATGAGTCAGCCTGTTCCCGTAGCAACTTTGAATCCAGAGCATCCTTTAGTCTCTCCACGATGATGGAGCCTAATATTTTGCTTTGGGTGGACAACAGCATGATCCCTCTCCAGTTCCTGCAAAGACTCAGGCCTCCCTTGTTTCGGAGTTTGACAACGTAGCCCTTCTTCCAGTCGATCAGCAGCTACCTTCCCTTCCTTCCTTCCTTCCTTCAAAACCTCCTGCAGTAGTGGTGTGGTGTCACCATGTCCCTGTTGTCTCTGTGTCCGTTTTCAGTGATTCTAGTGGAATTCCATTTGATCCTGCTGCTTTCCCGGATTTCAGTGACTTTGTGGCGTTCACGACTTCACTTCTGCTTTTGTCGGAGGGTTTGAGTTGACTGATAGTTCTGTGACTGGACTGCCGGTGATATTTCTGGACGAGTTGTAGGAGGTGGTGATGGTGATGATGGTCGATTGAAGAGTTTTTCGAAGTGGTCAGCCCACCATTTCCTTTGTTTCTACTCCTCGGTAACTGAGTTTCCTTCACTATCTTTCTTTGGTCTCATCTGTGTTGATCTCTTCGTTTCCAGGTAGTAAGCTGATTATTTGATATAATGTTATCAGATCTCTTCCTCTCCTACCTGCAGCCTGTTCTGCTTCACTTGCAAGTGTGTCATAGAAGTATCTGATGTCTTTCCACTCACTCTTCTTCACTTCCTTGTTGATTGTTTTATATGTTGTTTTCAGTTTCTCTTTGAGTTGTTCATCCGAGTGCTGCACTGATTCATCTTCTGTTTCACCATCTTTTTCTCCTTCCTCTTTCAGCATCCATGTATCGGTGGAGATCCATTCCTTGTCTTGCTACTTTTTCCTTTCTGATACTTTTATGCAGGTTTCCTTCCACTTCGCTTTCACAGATTTCTCATGTTCTTCCACGCAGGTTTCTTCGGGAATTTCGCTTATTGTTTCTCTTTTTTCCTGATGGTTGACGACGCGAAGATCTTTGTAGTTTCGTTCTTCAAATTCCGTTCTGGATATTGAACTTGATCTGTGGTCTATCACCAGCTTCTTTGAAGACTTTCAACTTGATTTTGAAGATAGATTCCTTGCACTAGATAATGAGTGGTGTAATCCGACATCTGTTCCTCTTCTTGATCTTGTGTCCAGTAGGCCGCATCCTTCACTTTCTTCAGATTGAGATGAAGTCGATCTGACTTTTACTGTGTCCATCTGGTGAAATCTATGTTACTTTATGAATACCCTTGTGTTTGTACACACTGCCTCCCGTCATCGAGTCCTTGAATGCTCAGAAATCTACAAGCAGTTCTCCATTCTGATTCATTTCTCCGAGCGCTTCTCGACCTATGATAAGTTCTCTTCCTGTATTGTCGGCTCCCAGTTTAGTGTTCATTTCACCCCACCCATTAGAATATTGATGTTACCATCTGGATTCTGTTCTCGTCAATTATTGATTGCAGTTGTCTGTAAATTTCCTCCTTCTTCTCTTGGTCTGCTGAATTATCTGTAGGTGCGTAGAGTAACATTGCATGATTGTAACTTTCCTTCCTTTTGAGTTGAACTTTACTGTCATGATCTTGATCCTGGGGGAGATTGGTTCCCACTGCATGAGAGCCTTTGATGCTGTTGGGGACGTCGTGATAACCACTCCGCATTTTATTGTGCTCGTGTTTTGTCTGAATGACAAAATCTGAGTACATTGTTGACTGTCCAGTTGACAGTTGGTAGAGTCCACTTCCCTTCCATCTGCTTTCGCAGGTTCAAAGCACTTCTATGCCATACCTTCTCATCTCTTCTGGAATCTAGGAAGCCTTGCTAGGTTCAGACACTGTTTGGACATCCCATGTCTCCATTTTTATTTTCGCTTTCATCGAGAGAAGACAGGACACATCGGCCGACTGGCTTTCCGAAGGCTTTCACCAACCAGAGTCATTTCGTCTCTCCGGTTCCAGCGAGGAACGAGTTTCATTTTATTTTCTACATTTTCTTTGTATTTTGATGTTTCTTTAGCGATTGGATTGATTTTACGGGGTAGGGTTGCTAGCCTTATGCCCAACCTTCCCTCTTTATCCGGGCTTAGGACCGGCTAGTAACTAGTGGAACTAGGCAAGGTTATTTAGGGACCCAGTGGTATGAAAATCAATCACCAGTGATCTGTTCATATTCTTCATGTTAGATGGTGAAAGTTAATCCATGGGAAGCCCTGCACTACCTAAGTTTTGTACTTTTTAACACTCATCAGAAAGACATAGCTACAATCATGAACAAACTGGTATTCGTAATATGATTAGAACCCGTGTGTTGCTAAGTTTTAAATTCACATACTTAACGAATAAGCTATCCAGGTTGAATTGTTGTAAACATTCTACATCAGTGTGTTATATGACACGTCCCTCATTTGAGGATCGGCAGGAAGCCCTGACTTATATTTCATCAATAAGGCCCATCCATAACCTTGACTGGACTGATATCCCATCTGAGATTTGAATCCGCATTCTTCAGTGTTGTAGTTAGAGACGTTTTCACTAAGCTGTTCAGACAGTAACTAACCTCCTCCACGGCAAGATTACATTCACTGATTGTTTACCCTTCAGTGACCATTCACTGTGTAAAAAAATGGTGAAATTTGAATTCTACCTACAGGAAGAAGAATTCTGAATCAGTGAGTTATGAATCCCAATGTTTTGCACTCTCCGATTCAGTTTTTGCAAATGGACATCAAGATAAGATTGTTTTAACTTTAAACTTTCCATTATCTGTAAGTATATTTGCATTTACATCGTTTTCTCATCGAATTTAGTCTTCTGACACACAATCAAAGTAATTATCTTGAATTTTATTACCATATTGAAGGTCTTCAATTTTTCTTAAACCAACCAATCAACTTTTAACATTATTGACACACATTTTATCCTATATGAGAATCGTCAACTGGATATACTTGCCCCTCAGTGAGTAATTTTGTTCTTAAATAGGGTGAAATGCGTCACCTTCGTTCTACTACATGATAATATTCTACATTAATGTCAAGATTGAAAATACAGGCAATATCATTGTATCTGCACCGTGTACCAATGGTAACGGATTATTACGGTTCAATCGGCCCTGTAAATTGTACAAGCTATTACATTAACATAACCAGTCAACTTCTCAGATATACATCAATTCTTAAAAGTTGAAAGCGTAGGTAGTTATATCCAGAAAAAAGATTTGAAACAATATTCAGCATGAATAAACACTGATTTTCTCGGTGTTATCAAATAAATTAATCGTTTTTATGTATACAATAATTACTATCAATTATTGAGACAGTTTTAGTATTTAACTAAGCATCCTCACTATTCTGTAAGTTGAGTAATTAGAAAGGTATTTCCAATGTGAATGTAAAATGTAAATTTGTTTCAACTGAGGTTTCACTAATAGCTTTATCGAAGTTATAGTAAACCCGAATTTATAATATCCTCCACGCTTGTATATCATAACTTGACTAGTCTTCTTCTCCATCAATCATTCTGCGTTCTCAGAATTGTAGAATAAAGATGATATCCACTTGTAGTGTGTTGTGTATGAATTACAGATTGAGATTTGTATGTACACACATGTGCTGGTGATAGTTCATATCGCCTTGATGTATGTTGGTTATGTGAGTAGGTGGAAGTGGGTTGAGACCAAGTGAAACTAACTACCTTTTACTCTCTCATTCCTTCCTGTTTAGACACTTATGATTCCACTCTGTATATGAAGAGATTGTGTTATGAGACATTCTTTATCATTTATAAAGCCACATTTCTGAATAATAATTTCGATATTATCAAAGTTGACCTTGTGATCTGAAACCATGACATGTAGAGGTGCGGTCGGTGTGTTTTCAAGTATTTTCAGTTCCACTGGATTTCTAGGGGGTCAGGTGGAAGCTCTTTGGTGTTCATCTTTCACGTTAAGTTTGTCCTATGTATATCGCATCGTAGTCTAAGTACTTTATCTTATAAACACCACTGGATGGTGAATCCTAGAGGGATCTTGTCCTTCGAATGAACTAAGATGCTCTGTAATGTGTATCTGATGTTCTGTAGAACATTCTGATGATATTGTATTTGTTGAGCATTCTCCTAATCTCATCCTATATATATGATCTCCAAGGGATAAGTATTGTTGAGGAGCATGACTTAAGAGTAGTTCTACAATCTAATTTAATGGTATTTTCCAGTTTGCGAATGAATTTTACGTTACTGGTGTATTTGGTCTTCTTAAGAGACTGGAGGCAACAAAAACTTTCAAACTAATTAAATGTGATGAGTTGAAGTCTAAATATTTGTTCGAATACGTTACCTTCTTGAAAATAGTTATACCTAAATGTCCATTTTGTTTCCGCTTATCAGGACAATCAAGGAGAGGCAGTTACTTCTTATCCCTTTATTTCTGTAGGCTGAACTTGATACTAGGAGAATCTAGGGTTCAGCTCATTCAAGAATACCTAGTATAAGTTACGTTTTAAAATTACAAATGTGTCATTCAACATATTTCGGCCAGAGTTTTGGGTTTATTAAGTGAGTGGAGACCCTTTCCTCGAATTGACTCATAAATAAGTTAGCTACTATAAGTGAAGCAGGTGAACCCACAGCAACACCTTCACTTTGTCTATATAGTTTCCCTTTATATGTGATGTGAGTAGTCTCTAAGCAGAATTTTAGAGCCTTGATGATGTCACTCGTATTCAGTCGACATCCTTCTCCCAAATGACGTGTCTTATTCCAATAAATTAGTATTAATAACTGAGCTACCACAAACTGAAATACTGGTATGAAAGAGAATTCATGACACGCTATTATTACTAATATTGTTATTATTATAACCTTGGGTTCCTAGTGGAAAATAGGGCTTCAGTACCACTTCCCCATTACACTCTATTCTCTGCACTATTTCCAACCTCACTACACCAATGCCCACAACCTCTCATTTCTTCCTCACACCATCTCCTCCATGTCACCCTCACCTCGCACGCCAAACTCCTCGTCTCCCATCTGCCTTCCATTACACCAACTGGTCTGGCACGTGATGTCACCAATCGGCCTTCCCCATGCATGCCCAATCCATCTACACTTCCTCCCTCTGCATATTTGTTGCACAATAGCTACTTGCTTGGTTCGTTACCAGCCACGGGGAGCTCCTTCTTGCTTATTCTCATTATTCTGACTGTCTGAGCTTCAGTAAAGAGCCAGCGTTGGCAGTTGTTGATGGATATCTGTAGTTTGTTGGAAATGCTTTTCGTAATGCGTCAAGTCTCTCAATCACCATATAGAATCACTGATTCGACTGAATTGGTGTTGAAAATTCGGATGTTGTTCACACTTTATGCTGAGTGCACAACATGTCCACACCGATTTCAGGTTGATGAATGCCTGTCCTGCTGTCCTTCGGATTCTGGCTGCTTTGACATCCTCGTCAGTGCCTGTGTCACCTGTAGTTGAAACGATGTTGCCTAGGTAGGTGAAAGAGACAACTTCCTTCACGTTTCTCCCATTGGTGGTGATTGGAGTTTGGTTTTGTTATTGGTTGAGTATCTTCATCACCTGTGTGTTCTCTAGGTTCACTTGAAGTCCCATCTTCGCTGCTCTGCCCTGTCTCTTCTGTCAACTTGTTAGATTTCGCCTGTAGATCTTCAAGTTTGTGTGACATTGGACATGAATCATCATCAGCGAAATCGAAATCTTCTATAACCTTACCGTGGTTCATCGTATCTCCCTCTTCTCGCTCCTCACTGTTTGTTGCATGATCCAGTCGACCACAAACAGGAAGGTTATGGGTAGTGGTAGACAGCCTTGTTTTACTCCTGTCTTCACTTCACTTCAAATATATCACTGAGCTCCCCGTTGTGAATTGCTTGGTATGTGGCGTTTTCTTATAGTTGTTGAATTTGTTCGATAAAGATTGTGGTATTTCGTAGTGTTGAAATTCATCTCATAGCTTACCATAATTGCATCTTCCTTAATCGTAAGTGAAGAAATTTTGATTTTAAAATCAAGTGAGGGCTTTTGTTGGGTGTCTAAGTATTGAAACCAGATATTTGGATAGGTTATATATTGGTGAAGTCGTTAATTGGTTTCAGTGGAATGGGAGGTTTGTGAATCTTGGATAAATTGTAGAATCCTGAAGGTATGTATTATTTAGGTTTCAGCTTGAACCGAATTGAGCTGCCGATTTTGGGTTTAAGTTCTTGAAGTAGTTTATTCGTGTTCAGTTTCATTTTGATCAGTTCCACGGGTCATTTCTTTTCATCAGTTAATGTGTATGGTCCTTCAAATAAGTATTCACATGCCTTTTTCTCTTCATAATCCGTTCTGTTCATAATGATTGTTATATTTCCTTATAATAATTATTACTATTGTTCCAAAATGCATGATTCATACTTTCTAGACGCTATTCTTACTATTGTCAAATATCATATCTTTATAGGTGCTAATGTATCTGACGAACGACACAAAGTCTCTGTTATTGACATGGTTGACAAAAGTACTAGACGAATACTAACGAAGATAATACGTAACACTAATTCAGATGTTAATCGCAAAGTAAGTTATGGTTAGCCTATCAAGTAAATTTCCTCTAACCTACATGGTTAAAGTGAAACTGACTGATTCAATGATCTATAATGTTACTATGTAAGTAATGAAACTGTTAAAATCCCTACTGAATGATGCCTAAACTATCTTCATACTTATTCATGTTAGACCAAGACTAAGAACACAGGAAATCAAAATTTTTTTTATAAAATTCACAATTTTTTGTGAAAAGTTTGACTACCAATAATATTTAACCTCCAGAATACTAATTTTCCTCTATTGGAACTGATTCCCTGATGTGCAGCGACAGAATTAAGCGGAAAAAGAGTCTAATTCCCAGTGTTTTTCATAGTGATTCACTCTATCAGTTTATAAATTTCTAGAAAATATGAGTTGATCGTCGATTATATGTTTAACATTGAATAAACTGCTTGTTTATTGTCAATATTTGTCCTTTGAGTTCTTAGTGGAACGTAGAGCTTCAGTAGTACGCAGCCATTTCACTCTCTTCTCTCCAGTCTCCTTAACCTGACTCCACAACTGCCCAAAAGCTTTCATTTCTTCCTCACTCCATCTCCTCCATGTCACTCTCAGACGTCCAACTTGTCGTTCCACTCGACGGCCTGGACTGGCCTGACTTCACACGTGATGTCCTCAAACACTCTTCTTGGTGTATGTCCAATCCAATCCATCTCCACTTTCTTCTTCTGCGGATTTGTTGGGCGATAGGTTCTTGCTTCGTTGGTTCGTTGTCAAAGTGAGTTCCTTATTGCTCATTCTCTGTGGCCATCTGATCTTAACTGTCAGAAACAAACCAGCGTAGGCGGCAGCTGTTGATGTATGTCTGTAGTTTGTTGGAAATGCTTTCTGTAACGCGCCAAGTCTCTCAACCACAGCATAGAAGCACTGAATTAATTGACATTAGTGTTGAAAATCCAGGTCTTGTTCACGTTAAATGCTAAGTGAAGTGCAGTGAAGCGCAGCGCAGTAGATCTGCACACTAATTCCAGACAGTGATGACCTGTCTTGCCGTCTTTCGGATCCTTGCTGCTTTGACATCCTAATCTGTGCCTGTGATACATTTAGTTGAAACGATGCTGCCTAGATGAGTAGGTAGGTGAAAGATACTACTTCATTCAGATTCCTCTCGTTGATGGTGATTGTTGCTTGTTGTTGATGTTGTTGGTTGAGTATCTGCATCACCTTTGTCTCCTCCACCTTCACATGAAGGAAGTCCTGTCTTCGCGGCCTCGTCTCGTCTAACCTCGCCTTTTCTGCCAAGTTGTTAGTTTTCGCCTGTAGATCTCGAGTGTATACAATCAAACATCGATAGCAAGTGATTCCGTATGCTTTTTTGAAGTATATGTACATAAAAGTTATTCAGACAAAAATGTACCATATAGCGAAATAGTATTACTTACGTGTAGAGCAAAGTTTATTGCTCGTTATGAAAGTGAAGCATTCTTCTTTACAAAACGTCATCATTTTGTTTCTGAGAAATTAGTATTCAACATGCTTCATATTCAATTTATGCTTCGTATGGTGTGAAAAAGTGTTTTGAGCAACACTTGAACGTATTACGAAGGATTATAGATTTGGTTTATAGCTAATATTACTAAGTTTCCAAGAATTTTTTTAACATTTACTCTTCTCAGCATTGGCTTTTGTTATAAGATTCATATGCTTTTGAAATGAGATGTGTTTTACTTCTCCAGGAATGTTATTCGTATAGGCAATGCACAGTAACTCATTAATCAGAGCTAAGGGTTAAAAATGATTCTAAGTTATTCATGTCTTATTCGATAATTGATATCAGTTGAAGGAACATTTTATACCTGGGAGCACCAAGAAGCTGTTTCGCCCTAGCAGAACACATCCACGATTCCGCCACGCCAGGGATCGAGTCCAATAGTCCACATTTTCTACTTCCTCCAGTTTATGATATAGCACGACCTACATTTATTTTCGTTTTTGAGTAACTGTCCTCATGATCGACTAATTTGACTCCACCGGTCATTACTTCTCATTGGAACTCCGGGAATCACCCGTAGAAGCTATGAAATGTATATGATTGGATTCCTACCCAATGGCTAGTTCAGTGGAACCTGAAGATGCTGGGCTCGATCTCTGGTGGGTCATTGATGCGGACTGCTGGGCAGTCCCATACTAGGACGAAACAACTTTTTGATGCTCCAAATGATGTCAGTCCATGGTGGATTCCAACCTAATCTCGACAAATAAACCTCTACGAATCTCCAGATAGAAGTTATTAATTTATTTCTGGTTGTATCCAGAATCGTCTAACATGAATCAACCTAGAATACTTTGTTGAGTATATTGACAGCTGCTTTTCATTCACCCCTCACTAGAAATTTGGACGTATCTATGTGTAATATTATGATTTCTTGAAATTTTTTGTTCATGAATTTAGGTTCAAGTTTTTCGTGAAAAAAACATATCACTTGGAAGTTTACTATTATCGTAAGGGTCCCCCAAAGAGGTCATATACATATGGACTTCTCACCACTGTTAGGAAGTTAATCAATTTCACTATTCCCCTTCAACTATTCAGTTTATGACCCTCTTAATACTGTGAAACCAAGGAAAGATCATTGTAATATTGTTGATTTGTTATGTTGATAATCATTTGACTGAGTTAATCGCACTTCGGCAGACTAGTATTCATACTGGGTGATGATTAAAGGTGAAATGAAAATCTGGACCGCTACCACTAAGTTTTCAGCTTGACGCTGTACCATCTGAGCTACAAGGTTTGACTGCTGACCGAATTTTCATTTCACTTTCAATCACCATGCGATTCCCCGACTAGCATGTGAATTTGTGATGCGTTATTACTGCCTGATTACTACAATTGGTAAAGCATCAAACCGGAAACTCTTCAGTCGCTGATTCGAATCCTGCCGTGGTCAAAATCTTCGTTTTATCTTCAGTCACCACCAAGTATAAATACTAGTCTCCATTCGAGGGCTGTCTGAAATGTCCAAAAGATAACCAGTATTATATTCCTCCTCTCATTCTAGTCGAGTTAGCCTTCGACTCAGATGAGAAATCCTGACCAGGCAGCCAATATGAAAAGGATTAAGCGCCAGTAATGAGTTATGAGGGCGAGAAGAGCGAGGTACGATAGACCTCAGAAAAGATTATAGAAGATTTCGATTTCGCTGATGATGATTCATGTCCAATGTCAAACAAACTTGAAGATCTACAGGCGAAATCTAACAAGTTGACAGAAGAGACAGGGCAGAGCAGCGAAGATGGGACTTCAAGGGAACCTAGAGAACACACAGGTGATGAAGATACTCAACCAACAACAACAACAACACCAACAACACCAAACTCCAATCACCACCAATGGGAGAAACGTGAAGGAAGTTGACTCTTTCACCTACCTAGGCAGCACTGTTTCAACTACAGGTGACACAGGCACTGACGAGGATGTCAAAGCAGCCAGAATCCGAAAGACAGCAAGACAGGCGTTCATTAACCTGAGATCAGTGTGGACATCTTATGCACTCAGCATAAAGTGTGAACAACATCCGAATTTTCAACACCAATTCAGTCGAATCAGTGATTCTATATGGTGATTGAGAGACTTGACGCATTACGAAAAGCATTTCCAACAAACTACAGATATCCATCAACAACTGCCAACGCTGGCTCTTTACTGAAGCTCAGACAGTCAGAATAATGAGAATAAGCAAGAAGGAGCTCCCCGTGGCTGGTAACGAACCAAGCAAGTAGCTATTGTGCAACAAATATGCAGAGGGAGGAAGTGTAGATGGATTGGGCATGCATGGGGAAGGCCGATTGGTGACATCACGTGCCAGACCAGTTGGTGTAATGGAAGGCAGATGGGAGACGAGGAGTTTGGCGTGCGAGGTGAGGGTGACATGGAGGAGATGGTGTGAGGAAGAAATGAGAGGTTGTGGGCATTGGTGTAGTGAGGTTGGAAATAGTGCAGAGAATAGAGTGTAATGGGGAAGTGGTAATGAAGCCCTATATTCCACTAGGACCCCAGGGAACACATATTAATAATAATTATCATAATAACGTGTCATGAATGCACATGGTAGCCGAGCGAAACCTCACTTGTGATTGTAGTGTAATTATAGTGTGGTCAGCAGTCGAATCTTGTAACTCATTTGGTAGGGTATCAGGCCCGAAACAGGTTGATTGCTAGTTCAAATCCGGCAGCGATTCAAAGTTTGATTTCATCGTCCATCATCACGCAATACAGGTTAAATATATGGCGTAAAACTTACCTATTTGGCATCTGAACAATAGTGATTTACTACTCATTGAAATAATGGTTACAAAAGTCACTGTAGTTTAATAAGATTTCAAGTTTTTATGTATTTCTACTAAGCAGACTTCATATTTATTTATCCAGCTATCATTTTGATTTGGTTACTTTTATTTAGACTCAACAGAAGTTTAGTACAGAAAGAGAAACAATAAATGAATTAGAGAAATCATGTACACTATTACGTAATGCTGTTGATAATCGATATAAAAAAATGCAGGTAAGTTTAAACAAATACTTTTTAGGAGGAATTATGTCTCTGTTTAAATGTTGATACTGCTACATTTAATCTCAAGGACACTATTTTCTCCAAGTATCAATAATTAACGAGTGATATTCAGTTAACTGTATCTCATATGATACTATTAAAAGTGAAGACAGGAGTTAGATTAGGTTGCCACCTACTATCACCGATCATCTTCCTCATTATGCTCGACTGGATCATGTAGCAAACTGTGAGGAGCTGTTAGAAGATGGCCATACACAAGACAGATGAAAAGACCGTAGAAGATTTTGATTTAGGTGATTATGATTTATTTCTAATGTCTTGAAGTACGAAGTCAAAGATATACAGGCGTAAACTAACAAGCTGACAGAAGAGGCAGCGAAGATGGGACTTCCTTCACGTTAATGTAGAGATGACAGAGATGATGAAGATATTCAACCAATACCAACAACAACCAATAACCATTAACGGGAGAAACCTAAAGGGAGTTGTCTCTTTCACCTACCTCCCTAGGCAGCATCGCTTCAACTACAGGCGGCACAGGCACTGATGAGATTCTCAAAGCAGCCAGGATTGGAAAAGCAACACAGGCTTTCCTTAATCTGAAATCAGTGTGGAGATCTACTGCACTGAACATAAAGAACAAGATCCGGATTTTCAACACCATTTCAGTCAAGTCAGTGACGCTATATGGTTGAGAGACTTGGCGCGTTACGAAAAGCATTCCCAACAAACTACAGACATTCATCAACAGCTGCCTACGCTCGTTACTGAAGCTCAGACTGTCAGAATAATGAGAATAAGCAACAAGGAACTCTGGCTGACAACGAACCAGTCACCCAAGAACCCATCGCCAAACAGTAATGCAGAATGTGGAAGTGAAGATGGATTGTGCACACACTGAGAAAACCATTCGGAGACATCGCGAATCAGGCCAGGCCAGGCAGTCGAGTGGAACCTGGATGGAAAACGACGAGTTGGTCGTCCAAGGGTGACATCGAGGAGATGATGTGAGGAAGAGATGAAAGGCTATGGGCGGTCGTGTATGCTTTTTCAAAAGCCTTAAGAGAACAGAGCGCAATGGAGAGGTGGTAGTGAAACACTATGTTCCACTGGGAACCCAAAAGACTAATAATATTATAATAATACATATTGTAAACACATGTTCATCAGCCGTTGTTGGATGCATACATAGCCTGAAGTAACAGAATGATGCAATACCATCGGAAAGAACATACTCCTTATTGACTATAGAATGTATTGGACGTGAATAGAAATTTAGCATAACTTATAGCCAGATATTTATCGGTGGATAGTGACAAAATGAAGTTCATTTGTTTCCTGAAACTTCAATTCAAAGTTATTCAAGATTACATAAGCATATCAGGTAGGTCAATTTGATGTGGCACACAGTAACATAGTACGAACGAATGTAATATGGAATTATATCCTATTATTTTTATAATAATTTGTCCCTTGGGGTCCTAGTAATACACAAGGCTACAGTACCACGTCTCCATTACACTCTATTCTCTGCACTATTTCCAACCTCACTACACCAATGCCCACAACCTCTCATTTCTTCCTCACACCATCTCCTCAATATCACCCTCACCTCGCACGCCAAACTCGTCGCCTCCCATCTGCCTTCCATCACAGCAACTGGTCTGGCACGTGATGTCACCAATCGGCCTTCCCCATGCATGCCCAATCCATCTACACTTCCTCCCTCTGCATATTTGTTGCACAATAGCTACTTGCTTGGTTCGTTACCAGCCACGGGGAGCTCCTTCTTGCTTATTCTCATTATTCTGGCTGTCTGAGCTTCAGTAAAGAGCCAGCGTTGGCAGTTGTTGATGGATATCTGTAGTTTGTTGGAAATGCTTTTCGTAATGCGTCAAGTCTCTCAATCACCATATAGAATCACTGATTCGACTGAATTGGTGTTGAAAATTCGAATGTTGTTCACACTTTATGCTGAGTGCACAAGATGTCCACACCGATTTCAGGTTGATGAATGCCTGTCCTGCTGTCCTTCGGATTCTGGCTGCTTTGACATCCTCGTCAGTGCCTGTGTCACCTGTAGTTGAAACAGTGCTGCCTAGGTAGGTGAAAGAGTCAACTTCCTTCACGTTTCTCCCATTGGTGGTGATTGGAGTTTGGTGTTGTTGGTGTTGTTGTTGTTGTTGGTTGAGTATCTTCATCACCTGTGTGTTCTCTAGGTTCCCTTGAAGTCCCATCTTCGCTGCTCTGCCCTGTCTCTTCTGTCAACTTGTTAGATTTCGCCTGTAGATCTTCAAGTTTGTGTGACACTAGACATAAGTCACCTGCGAAATCCAAATCCTGTAGGTTGTTTTCCGCTGTCCAGCATATGCCTATCTTCACGCTCCTCACAGTATGTTGCATGATCCAGTCCACCACAGTCAGGAATATCATAGGTGATATTAGGCATTTCTGTTTTACTCCTGTCTTCACTTCACTTCAGATGCATCACTGAGCTTTCCATTGTGAATTACTTGGCATGTGGCTTCTTCATATAGTTTTTGAACTGGGCTAATAAAGGTTTGCGGTATTTTGTAGTATCGAAGCAGTTTCCAAATTACCTCTCGGTCGACGCTGTCAAAGGCTTTCTCAAAGTCGATAAAGTTGAGGTGGAGAGGTGACTGTCATTCTATACTCTGTTCTATGATGATGCTTAGCGTAGCGTCGCAATTCGGTCCGCATATGATTTTTACTTCCTGAATCCAGCCAGCCTGTTCCGGTCGTAAGTTTGAATACAGCGCATCCTTCAGTCTCTCCAGGATGATGTGGCTTAATATTTTGCTTCGGGTGGACAGGAGAGTGACAGTATCGTTTGTATATTCCAGGTCAACTAGATGACCTCCAGGGAGTAGGTCATTCCCTATGAAGTCACACTCGTTTCTGGTGAATGTGATTCTTTGAAACTAACTTTAATAATAGTAATAGTAATAATGGCTTTACTCCTAAAGCTACTTCGGGAATACTCTACAGAATTTTCAACATATCATATAGTATCATTTGGATAGAGACAGTGTATATATATACGTAGCGAAATGAAATAAGTAGAAAACCACATGAAGAAAAGATAAGAATATTCACTGCATCTAAAACTTTCTCCAAAATCCACAGTCAATTTAGGTAGACAGTCACATTAGCAACTAGGTTCACTATATATAATTAGTAACGTCCTATGTACCTGTCAGTTAGTTTGCTTTCAAAAAGAGAAGTTGATTAGTCAGTTCATTTTTAACACTCTTCATCACACAACAGATGAACTAAATACGTTAGATATTGTAGAGTTTATATATTTTGTAGTGCGTGTATAGTCTTATGTACTTGTTCCTTCCACTTCACTTACCTGGGAAGTAGGATCAGCTCTGGTGGGTCAGTTGCCGATGAAATCTGTGCACAGATACAAAAGGCTCGGCTGCCTTTTGTCAATTTACGCCACCTATGGCGCCACCGTGATATCCGTTTGTCTATTAAGGGTCGCGTGTATTGCACAGCAAGCCTGTCTGTTCTGCTGTACGGCTGTGAAACACGGGGATTGAAAGTGGAAGATATGAGAAGGCTTAAAGTGTCTGACCACCGTTGCCTTCGTAGTACAGTATAGGCCATATTCCGTTGTGTCATCACGTGCGTAGTGAAGAAGTAAGGTGCAGAGTTTTAGGGAGTAAAGATAAGTCAGTAGACGAGGTTGTGAACCTTCATCGATTGAGATGGTTGGCCGGGACACGTATTACGTATGCCTAGACACCGATTGCCTCGTCACACAATGTTTACCAAAGTTGGTGCAGGCTGGAAAAAGGCCAGAGGTAGCCAGACTAAAGCATGACACCAATGTATGAAGTCTCTGACTGTTGGTTTGAGCCATGTGGTGTGATGCAGACTAGTCGGTTGTGGTCGGTGGGACAAGAGGAACCAGTGTTTGGAGACTAGGTGATATGGTTGAGAACCGATGTGGGTGGCGCAGATGTATACACACATTATCCTCATCTGAATGACGCTATACTGAATCTCACCATTTTGTCACTCCTCTTTTCTTTCTTCTCCTACATAATATTTCTTTTGACTGCATTCACTTATCTTCATCTTTAACCTCACTACCTCTCTACTTGATGTAGTGATATGAGGTGTGGCAACTCGAACGTTTAAGCTGTAATGCCTAGTCCTATGTTGATATTGATTGATTGATTGTTCCTTGTCATTCCAGATGACTGACACCTAGACAGCTTTGAGTGAAGAGGCTACTGTTGGTCATGTGATAAAAAAAACTTCTACAAGATGTTTTTACATCAATTATTATGTTTGTTCACAACTATTTTAACTAGAAGGTTTAGGGGTACACCACTAGTTCTACTGATAATCTTCAAAGTTCTAAGCAATATACCATAATCTTTTTCCAACGATCCGAGAAAAAATAAAGGGGAGCAGAAGAGGAGGACAGGCAACATTCATGAGTTCATAAAACAAAAAATAGGAGAGGTTGAGTAACACCAGATACTCTCAACTTCCTAATAGAGAAAGTTAAGCCAAATATTCTTGTACAAATTAGTCAGATATAGGAAGACCAGGAAAGGTACGAAGAAAAACATACACCAAAATAAATCATACTTGTAACATTCTCTAATGTATAACTATCAACAGAATAGGAATCATAAGAACACTAAGCAGTTTACATTGGTTATGTTCACGTTTATGGTCTGAAATTTTGAAGCATTAGGCAATAAGACTATTCACGGAGGACTATCGTCTAATAATAGATAGGAAATCATTCAGTTGAGAAAAATCTATTGAAGAGGAGATATGTATGAAAAGTGTTAGACCGATATCTGCTGACGGTACTAGGTCATCTTTAAGTCAAGAATACATATCCTTCAGATTTAAGAAGAAAGGGAGTGAATAAAAATTTCTTTTTTAGCTGATAAGTATACAACTGTGAAATTTTATCCTTTATCTGTTCTATTGATGCTATATTGTTCACCTAAAGAGCTAGATATCATAAAACAACACAAAATAAAATTTATTTACTCAATTCTCTATTCTTATATCACTCTGATTTAGAATATTTATAATCTTTTTCGTTCTTCTACTATACAATCAGGAATCAATAATTACTCAAAGAAATTTTATCATAGAAATGAAAAATATATTTCTGCAAAATAATACCTTGAAAATTTATTGTGATATACCAATTGTAAATAATAATTTAACATATGAATTTCCTATGGAGCTTATAAAAAATTATGAAATTGCCTTAGATACACTAATTGTTCATCTACATGAAACATATGTAAGTTTAATGTGAATATTTCATAGCTGTTTTATGATTTATAAGCTTTCAGACAATAATTGTTACTAATATTCTAGGTAATGTTAAGCTTCAAGTGTGGAGATCTACTGTATTATTATTTATTAGTCCCTTGGGTTCCTAGTGGAACATAGGGCTTCAGTAGCACGCCTCCAGTGACCTCTGTTCTCTGAGATCTTTTGAACTTGGTTCCACGACAGCCCAGAAGCTCTCATTTCCTCCTCGCACGATCTCCTCCATGTCACCCTCAGACGTCCAACTCGTCGCTTCCCATGGGGATTCCACTCGAGTGACTGGCCTGACGCGTGATGTCCTCAGTCGGCCTTCTCAGTGCATGGCCAATCCATCTCCACTTCTTCCTGCATATTTGTTGAGTGATAGGTTCTTGGTTGGTTCGTTCCCAGAGTTCCTTGTTGCTTATTTTTTCTGGCCATCTGATCTTCAGCAGCGAGCGTAAGCAGTTGTTGATGAATGTCTGTAGTTTATTGGAAAGGAGATCTACTGTACTTAGCACAAACAGCAGGATCCGGATTTTCAACACCAACATCAGTCAAGTTAATGCTACTATATCATTCAGAAACTTAGCGTATCACGAAAAGCACTTGCAACAAACTATAGACATTCATTAACAGCTGCCGCCTATACTCACTCTATACCGAAGATCAGATCAGATGGCCAGATTAATAAGTAACAAGGAACTCTGGGAACGAACCAACTAAGAACCTATCACCCAACAAATACGCAGAGGAAGAAAATGGAGATAGATTGGATTTGACATACACTGAGAAAGCCAATTGGGGATATCATACGCCAGGCCAGTGGAACCCGAATGGGAAACGACTAGTTGGGTGACATAGAGGAGATGCTGTGAGGAAGAAATGAAAGTTTGTGGGCAGTGGTTGAGCCAAGTTTTGAAGACTGTAGACAAGAGAGTGCAATGAAGGCGTGCTATTGAAGCCTTCTGTTTCACTAGGAACCCAAGGGAAAAATAATAATAGTAAATACATAAACATACTGAGATTATATTAAAATATATTCGTATTTCCATAATGCTTTTATAGTCATCTTACAGCCTTTTATGTTGAAATAATCTAAAAGGTTGTAGATAAGGATGACAGTAACGACGATTGGAGTATTCTCTGAGCTTCAATATTTTAGCGTTCATACAACAAAATCATTTTTTCCTTCAAACAATCATCATTACCCTCATTCATATGTGGAACGGAACAGAAATCTTTTAGCATAGGAATTCTTAAGCTTTCATTACAAGTTGAATAATAGCCAAAACTTCACAGTTGAAGAAGTCAAACTTAAAACAGTATTCATTATACACTGATGTCAGTTATCTTAACATGAGATTCCTCAGTAGTATGTATCCCGAACAACGCAAAGGATCTTACTCTTGACCTATCATTTCTCATGGTGAACACGATAACCGTTAACCTACTGGCGTCAAAGTTTAATGGTTCACAGTTTCCTGCTTTTATCAATTCGAGACATAATACCACTATGTCTTAAGTTGACATTCGCTTCTCCCATTGGTCAAATCTTTTCATTAGAACTTTACAATATCTATCTTGAAGATATGTCGCTAACTATTACTATAAAGTAATCTACTTAACAATCGTAATCATTCAATCTTTAAAATGGTTCCAAATTGTTTACAATTTTAATTGGTATATAAGATGTTGAAATGTACTAAAGTCAAGTTCTGTCTTGATTTGAATTGGTAATAGAAAAAATTCTAAGTAATATAATCTTTACTATATTCAGCTATACTTATACTAAAGTGAATATCGTAGATAGTTAGTTGTACCGAGTAATAAATACACTTTTAAGTCAAGTCTCCTTTGATTTGTTCTACAATTAAGGCCATGATAAATTTATACTTACTCATAGAAAGTAAGTTAATCGTTGAGTGGAATGCATCGTCTACTGACTGTGTGTTGACTACTTTCTAGAATGTCGACAGAGACATTAGTTAATTCATTCACATGTCTGTTATATCACGTAATTAACTTAAAAGAAGTATTGATCTACTTGTAATTCTCCATTGTTCTACTGGATCGAATTATTCGACCTCTATTGGCATATGGGCTCGTATGCGGATGCTTTGATATTGCCTAAATGTTGATTATGATAATTTGGTTGGCTGTGGTTATCAGAAGTATATCAATAAATAGTAATAACTAATACATGTTGTACAAGAAGTGGCTATTACACCTCTGTGGCATAGCGGATAACCTCCCGGTGTTTAAAGCGATGGGTACGAGGTTCGAGTCTCAGTGAGAACAATATCACTTCACACTCGGGTGCATTTACATCCAGCTGACGAGTCCCCGATAGGACGAAACTCACGTCAAGCAGGGTTTTTCTGCTAGTCACAACCAAGCAAACTATCAAGTAATGAGTGTGTGAAGAAAGCACGATTTAATTAGTTGATAAATTTCAATGGTAGTCATCAGCCGGATACTCTGCATTCTTGATTAGATAAATACAATTAGGAAGTGCTAAAGACAACATTATATCAAATAACCAGCTTACTACGTGAGAGGGAAGAGATCAACACAGATGAAACCAATGAAAGATAGTGAAGGAAACTCGAGCGACTGACTCCGTGCGTGATGTCCCCAATTGGCCTTGTCAGTGTATGCCCAATCCATCTCCACTTCTTTCTGCATATTTATTGAGAGATAGGTTATTGCTTCGTTGGTTCGTTGTCAGCTAGAGTTCTTTGTTGCTTATTCTCTCTGGCCACTTGATCTTCAGTATCAAGCCTAGGGAGATGTTTATGAATATCTGTAGTTTGTTGGAAATGCTTATAGTAACGCATGAAGTTTCTGAACCGTATAGATGCACTGACTTGACGTTGGTGTTGAAAATCCGGATTTCGTTAACGCTTTATGCTGAGTGCAGTAAATCTCCACACTGGTTTCAGAAAAATGAAGGTCTGTCTTGCTTTTCCTATCTTGGGTTTGACATCCTCATCTGTGCTTGTGCCGCCTGTTGTTGAAACGATTTTGCCTGGATAGGTGTAGGTGAAATAGACCACATCCCTAAGGTTTCTGTCTTTTATGGTGATTGATGCTTGTTGTTTTTATTGCTGTTTGGGTATCTTCATGACCTCTATCTTCTCTGCGTTCACTTGAAGTCCCGTCTTCGCTGCTCTGCCCTGCCTCTTCTGTCAACTTGTTAGTTTTTGCCTGTAGATCTTCAAGTTTGTGCGACAAGACATTAAATATAAATCATCATCGGCGAAATCCAGATCATATAGGCTCTTTTCATTGGTCAAACAGCCAGTGCCCCTCTTGTCGCTCCTCACAGTTTATTACATGATCCAGTCCACTACAATCAGGAATATCATTAGTGATATATGTTTCGACTAATTGCCTTAAAATTTATGATGCCTCTATATGGCTCATCCGTTTCAAGTGACCTTGTTAAGCACAGTTTTTATATGTAATAGAACTGCATACCTCCATTTTAAGCTTCACTCCTTATATATAAATGCTAAATAAGAAACGTGCAAAATTAAGGAATGCAAATTTATACGATACTAAGCGTCTGCATATATATATATATATATATATATATATATATATACACCAATTACCAAAAATCTACTCCTTGTAATAGGTTTTCTTTGAGATTTTCTTGATCCAGGAACTGATATCGATTGAAGAACTATTGAAAACCTGGAAGCATTGGTCAGCTGTTCCGTCCTTGTATTGGATTCCTCAATAGCGAACACCCATCACCCTATCAGCGACCGAAGGGAAGTGGAAGCCAACTTTGAACTAACAAAAGTACAAAACTTTCGATCTATGAATTTCAATGAAGCGGTTGAATGGTTAACCTATTTATTATAAGACCTGATAGTTCTAAGTTTGATTTCTAAGAGGGTAATGGGTACGTACAGCTGAGGAGTCATATACTAGGACGAAATGCCTGTGTATTGATCCCAAGTTCTTAATGTTTCTTCAATTGATATCACTCCATGATGCATACAACGTAGAAACGTAGATCTCATTACACTTTAACATTGAATTAAGTTAAATATTTCTGTTCATTTACTGATATACACCTTCATAATTCGATTTTAGATGAAAAAATTATCATCCAGTGTTTTATGTCGCCTAGACAAATTGAATCTGTTGTTAAACCATTCAAAAGGTCTCCTAAAAAAATATGATAATACAGAATTAGATATTCTATTGTTAGATGCTTCAATAAAACACCAAAATAAGAAAAATTCGGTAAGTTCAGCACATATTCAAGTGTTTCATTTCTGTATACTGTTTCATGTTACATTATATTATCATTTATCCCTTAGATTCCTAGTGGAACATAAGGCTTCAATAGCATATAGCCATTTCACCCTCTTCTCTCCACTCTTCTTTTTCAATCTGGCTCTACAACTGCCCATAAGCTTTCATCTCTTCCCTACACTATCTCCTCAATGTCACCGTCAGACAGGACATCCTAATCATCGTTTCCCATTTGGCTTCCACTCGACGGCCTGGACTAGCCTAGTTGCATGATGTCCCCAAATCGTCTTCTCACTGTATATCCATTCCAATCCATCTCGACTTTCTTCCTCTGCATATCTCTTGGGCGATGGATTCTTGGTTGGTTGGTTGGTTCGTTGTTAGCCATAGTGAATTCCTTGTTGCTTATTCTCTCTGGTCAGCTGAACTTCATCTTAGCTGTAAAGCGATAGCTGTCCATGTATGTCTGTAGTTTGTTGGAAATGGTTTTCTTCACCTGCCAAGTTTCTGAACCTTATAGAAGCACTGACTTGACGTGGGTGTTGAAAATCCGGATCTTGTTCACGCTTTATGCTGAGTGCAGTGCAGGGCAGTAGATCTCGACCCTGATTATTTCAAATCGATGCAAGAAGGCTTGTCTTGCTGTTTTTTTTATCGTGGCTGCTGTGACATTGTTATCTGTACCTTTACCGCTGCCTGTAGTTGAGAAGATGCTGTCTAAGTAGGTGGGTGAAAGAGACAACTTGCTTTAAATTTCTCCCTTTCATAGTGAATGTTGCTTCTTGTTGTTGGTGTTGGGTATCTTCATCACCCCTATCTTCTCTTTGTTCACTTGAAGTCCTCTTCATCTTATATGGGTAATTTTTTTCGTAATTTTGCTTTGTGACGGCTAGTACTGGAATCCAAGAGGTGCGTTTTCTCTTGTTCTCATGAAGAATCAAATCTATTGAGTTGGTAGTGCATGCAGCTGAAGAGTTTTGAATAGGAAGAAATATGCATCGTAGGTTCCCCTGCTATCTACAAGCAAGTCAACTTTAACATAATGAATATTCAGCTAATATCAAAATATTTCATATTAAATTTGTTTATCTGATGTTAAACGCACAGTAATACAGTATTATTTAGGTGCAGCAACTGCTGAATAGGTTAGAACACAGTGTGAGTTAACATTGTAAAGACAAAGGAAGAGACAGTGAAACTTAACAAAACTGTAAAATTCAGCCTTGCATAATCTACCTAATGACAATAATATAGTGATTGTTAAGTCTGATAAAGCCAATTCAGCAGTAGTTATAGATAAATTGGATTGCTTCAACAAAATTGATGGACATATTCATACAGAACCATATGAAGAGATCAGGAAGCCTTTAGAGGTGGTCATGAATAAAATCAGGAAGTCTACAGCTGATCTGATACGCCGACTAAAACCATTTCTAGGTGATTAATGGTGAAGACTAATAATCCTAGTAGAATTCAAGGCACTATTAAGGTTCATAAACTAGATTGTCTCATTAGACCGATAGTTGACTTCAGCAACACCCCAACATATGAACTAGCAAAAGTACTCAGCATCGATATTGTGCCGTATTAGGAACCGTTGAAATTCCAGACTAATAAACTCCTACAAGTTAAAATTAAGGCCTTATGATCTGCATATAGAAGAGGATGAAAAAAAAATGGTTAGCTTTGATGTAACAAGTGTTTAAACTAAAATGCTAACCAGTATGACACTGAAGGTATTCAGAAGTCAACTAAATATTGACTCAAAACTTACTCACAGAACTAAGAAATCGTTTAATGAGATCATATTAGGTGTGCATGGCTTCCACAGTTTTCAAGTTTCAGGATAAAATATACAGACAAACAGAAATAGTAGCAATGGAATTGCCAATATCCTTGATCGTAGCATATATATTTATGGATAGATGGGAAAGCATGGCTTTATAAACATTTAGTCCTACACTTAAGATATGGTGGAGATATGTGGATAACATATTGTCTACTGTGTTGAAATCCGAAGATATCGACAATTTCCTCACACATGTAAACTCAGTAGTAGGCTCAATTCAATTCACTTACGAGGAGGTAGAAAATGAAGAAGGAGAATCACCTGTATTGGATTGAAAAATAAAACGAAGGACAGACGTCCATGGTTTGGATACTACCGTCTACAGGAAACTGACACATTCCAACAGGTATCTAGACTTCAATTAATCCCATGCAATGTGATGGAGCTAGAAAACTGACTAGACAGTACAAACACCTAAACAACAAATTGTAACACGTAATAGAAGCTCTAATTGTTAATAATTATCCTCCGCAGAAGAAATGAAAAATAACAGTCACACGAGTACGAATAATGACAATAACACAGGTAGAAAGGAGTTCACAGCCTCCATTGTGTTACCCCTTCAAGAAAAGTACATCAAAAACTTTACGTAGGATTCTCAACAAAGCTGGGATTAGGGTGGACTTGAAGCCTACAAACTCATTCAGAGATAAGCTTTGTCAGTTTAAGGATCCGACATATCCAATTAAGCAGAATAACCTAATCTATCGAATTCCACGTAATGACTATGAGGTCAAGTATATCCATCAAACTAGCCGGTCGCAGTCAGTTAGATTGTCCAAAACATAGGAATTTGGCAGATCCGAATAAGATCAATAATCTAGAAAAAATCACTCACCTATTGCAATTCATGTATTAATACATAACCACACAATAGAGTGGGATAAAACCACTGTACTTATGTCCAATTAAATTACGTGGAGAGAGAGGGGAGATTGTTAACGGAATCTCTGTTCATCGAATCAACACTCAACCAGCACATGTAATATGAATCACGCAACACCTATACCAGAGAGTTGATATGACCATAAAAAGTAGATATCGAAAGGATTGTGATTACACTGATATAATTATGAGAAGTGATAAGTTATGCTCTTTTCATGAATTAAATAATACTTTATCACTGTACGCTGTTTTAAATAAACAAATCTAATGTGGAATTATATTCTATCACAATGCTCAAGTTTTATAATTATATTAATGTCTAGGTATCCTTATATGAGCAGATTTATCGAAAGAGTTAGACCGATTCTATCCAATAGAATAACTGTAAACTATAAGCAGTAATAAATAATTTACACCTATATTATTTGTAAAAAATTATCATCATCAGTATCACTCTAGGACCAGGCATTACTGCTTAACAGTCCGAGTTGCTACACCTTATATCACTACATCAAGTAAAAAGGTAGTGAGGCGAAAGATGAAGATAAGTGAATGAAGTCAAAAGAAATATTATGTAGGAGAAGAAAGAAAAGAGGAATGACAAAAAAGTGAGATTCGGTAGAGCGTCATTAAGAGGAGGATTATGTGTGTGTGTATGTGTGTGTGTGTGTGTGTTTACATCTGCACCAATGACATCTGTTCTGAGCCACTTTATTAATACTTTTGTTAAGCAAGTTAATGCTGCAATTTATGAACAAAAAGAAGAAAGTCAACGTACTCTATCCACTCTACAATCTGGTCTACAAACATTCTTACCTCAATTAATAAAATATTCAAAGAGTATTTTACAAACTGCATGTCAATATTCATATATAATTCAAACAAATATTATGCAAGAATTTGGAAATTTAATTGAAAAGTTAATCAATGAGGTAAGTTATGCATATTAATGAAAATATCGTCTAACTTTATATTATAATATAAACTGACTAATTTACTTAGTTCCCCTTTAAGTTCCTGGTGGAACAAAAGGATTGAGTAGCACACCTTTATTCTACTCTGTTTTCGCCAGTCCATTGAACCTCGCTGCACGACTGCCCACAAGCTTTCATTTATTCCTCACATGATCTCATACATGTCACCGCCTCAGACGTCAAACTCGCCGTTTCACATTTGGATTCCAGTCGAACGGTCGGCCTGGCTCGTGATATCCTCAAACCACCTTCTCAGTGTATGCCAAATCCAATCCATCTCCACTTTCTTCCGTCTACATATTTGTTGAGTGATAGGTTCTTGGTCAGTTCGTTGCCAACCACAGTGAGTTCCTTGTTGCTTACTCCTACTATTCTGGCTATCTGATCTGATCTTCAGTATCGAGTGAGCGTAGACGGTAGCTGATGATATGATGAATGTCTGTAGTTTGTTAGAAGTGCTTTTCGTAAGGCACCAAGTCATTGAACCACCACATAGAAGCACTAACTTACTTGACTGAATTAATGTTGAAAATTTGAATCTTATTCTTTGTGCTGAGTGCAGTAGATCTCCACACTGATTTCAGACTGATGAAGGAGAGCCTGTCTTGCTTTTCCAATCCTGGTTGCTTTGATATCCTCGTCTGTGCGGAGGCCTGTAGTTCAAACTATGCTGCCTGGATAGGTGTAGGTGAAAGAGACAACTTCTTTTAGATGTCTCTCGTTGATGGTGATTGGTGCTTGTTGTTGTTGTTGTTGTTGTTATGGGTTGTTTGTCTTCATCACCTCTGTCTTCTCTACATTCACTTAAAGTCCCATCATCGCTGTCTCTTGTGTCAATTTGTTAGTTTTCGCCTGTAGATCTCCTAGTTTGCGCAACGTTAGACATTAGATATAAACTATCATCGGCGAAATCCAAATCTTCTAGGATGTTTTTCCCGGTCCAGCCTATCGCCCTCTTCTCGCTCCTCACTGTTTGCTGCATGATCCAGTCCACTACAATCAAGAAGATTATTGCTGATGTACAGCCTTTTCTTACTTCTGTCTTCACTTCGAAGGTGTCACTGAGCTTCCCATTGTGAATTACTTGACATGTGGCGTCGTCATGTAGCTGTTGAATGAAGTTGATAAATGTTTGTGGCACTCCATAGTGTTGGAGCAACTGCCATTCAATCTGCCCAACAAATATGCAGAGGAGAAAAATCCAGATGGACTGGACTGGACATAGACTGGGAAGATGATTCGGGAACATCATGCACTAGGCCAGGCTAGGCCATCGAGTGGAATACAAAGGGAGAACGACCAGTTTGGAGACCCATCTGAGGGTGACGTGGAGATCATGTGCGGAAGAAATGAAAGCTAATGGGCAGTAGTGCAGCCAGGTTGAAAAAGAAGACTGCAGAGAAGAGAATGAAATGGCCATGTACTACTGGAACCTTAAATTCTACTAGGAACCCAAGGTACAAATAATAATAATAAAACAAGACAAATAAAACGCTTTGGAATCTTATGTTGATCCAAAATGAAAAGGGATTTTCGCTTACACTACAAAACGTTCGTTTATGGTAACGTGGTTGGTTGTGGCTAGCGTAGCAGTCCAAGACGGATGATTTATTCATTTGGGACTTGTTAACCGGACGCACCTGAACCCCATTGCGAAGTCTTGTTGTCTCCATCTGGACTTGAACCTCGCACCCATCTGTTCAAACGCTAAATCATAATCCGCCATACCACAGATGCACGAAAACCACGTTTTGTGCAACAGGTATTAGTTAATACCATTTATTGATGTGCTTATGATTCTACGTTGTTTTACTGGATTGACTTATTCAACCTATGTTGGCATATGGAAACATACGGATTCATGTGCGATGTCTGGATTCCTCTGCTAGCCACAACCAACCAAAATAGCATAGTTAACATTCAGACAATATCGAGGCATCGGTATAGGAACCGAAATGCCAATAGAAATCGAACAATTCAATCCAATTACAAGTATACCAATAACTTTACATTTTGACAAATCGATCTTTACTTGATTACACTCTTTTTTATTGATTTTCATGAATATCAGTCTGTATCTACTTGATTCTGTTCATTCTTCTGTCTGTCTCTACATCTTACATACTTATGTATGTACAAAGCCCTTCACAATGAGTGAGATATTATTTAGAATCATGTGCTCCTATGACGTACTTGGGATCAATTAAGGTTCTTAATTGTGAAAAATATTTCTTATCAATTTACCAATGAGAAGGAGTAAAGCCTTAAAGATCACGTAGCGTAACTGTGTACTGCTGAATTCGTTTAAAACAATAGTACTAAAAATAAAATACGGATGGTTTTTTGTTTGCTTATCTAACACATTGTCACAAATACTATACAAACTTGGTTGACAAGTGAGGGAACGGATATTCATCCTTAGCTCAGTAATAAAACACTGGATAAACTTGGGATATTTATCTCATTTTGATAAGGTTCTCCAAACTTCTGTACAATGTGTGATCAAGCCATTCGAAAGGAGTAAAAGTGAGACATTTGATTATTGCTGAAGTATTAGCAATTCAAAGGTTTGGAAGGAAGGAAGGAAAGGTACCTACTGATCGACTGGAAGAAGGGCTACTTTGTCAAACTCGCAAACTGGCGCGGAATCATCCTCCTGTCGACACTAAGCTGCATATTAATATTATGCCGCGTCATACTGGGGAGACTAAAGGATGTGCTGGATTCAAAACTATGAGCGGAACAGGCTGACTGGTTGGCTTCAGGAAGAATAACTCATGTGCGGATCAAACTGCAAAGCTACGCTACGCATCATCGTAGAAGAGAACATAAAATAGAAGTCAACTCTGTATCTCAACTTCATCGACTTTGAAAAAGCCTTCGATAGCATCGACCGAGAAGCAATTCAGCAGTTGCTTCAATACTACGGAATACCACAAACATTTACCAACCACATTCAATAGCTATATGGAAATGCCAGATTCCAAGTGATCCACAATTGAAAGCTCACTGACGCCTTCAGAATAAAGACAGAAGTAAGACAGGGCTGTCTCCTATCACCAATGATCTATCTGATTGTGGTCGACTGGACTGGATCATGCAACAAACAGTGAGGAGCTGTAAGAAGATGGGGACACGCTGTTTGACCGACGAAGAGAGCCTAGAAGATTTGGATTTCGCAAACGATAATGATTTATGTTTAATGTCGCACAAACTAGAAGATCTACAGGCGAAAACTAACAAATTGACAGAAGAGACAGCAATGATGGGACTTTAAGTGAATGTAGATAAGACAGAGGTGATGAAGACACACAACCAACAACAGCATCAACAACAAGCACCAATCACCATCAACGAGAGACATCTAAAAGAAGTTGTCTCTTTCACCTACACCTATCCAGGCAGCATAGTTTGAACTACAGGCCTCCGCACAGACGAGGATATCAAAGCAACCAGGATTGGAAAAGCAAGACAGGCTCTCCTTCATCAGTCTGAAATCAGTGTGGAGATCTACTGCACTCAGCACAAAGAATAAGATTCAAATTTTCAACATTAATTCAGTCAAGTAAGTTAGTGCTTCTATGTGGTGGTTCAATGACTTGGTGCCTTACGAAAAGCACTTCTAACAAACTACAGACATTCATCATATCATCAGCTACCGTCTACGCTCACTCGATACTGAAGATCAGATCAGATAGCCAGAATAGTAGGAGTAAGCAACAAGGAACTCACTGTGGTTGGCAACGAACTGACCAAGAACCTATCACTCAACAAATATGTAGACGGAAGAAAGTGGAGATGGATTGGATTTGGCATACACTGAGAAGGTGGTTTGAGGATATCACGAGCCAGGCCGACCGTTCGACTGGAATCCAAATGTGAAACGGCGAGTTTGACGTCTGAGGCGGTGACATGTATGAGATCATGTGAGGAAGAAATGAAAGCTTGTGGGCAGTGGTTGAGCCAGGTTGAAAAGACTTCAGGCAAGAGAGTGCAATGGAGGCATGCTACCGAATCCCTATATTTCACTAGAAACCCAAAGGAAAAATAACAATGAATAACTACCAATTCAGAAGTTCATTCCATCATCCTCTTTTTTTGCCATAGACATCGTAGAGTATCGATCACTATAAATAATCGCCATTTGATGTAGTAATTTTATTTATTTCCCTATTGCCGAATTTTTTTCTTGTCAATTAATTCATATTGACCTTTGACAAGAAATTACTCTGAAATATTTATGGATGTACAACTAAAGGAATGATTTAATTGAAAATAAACTTTATTTCTTCGCTACTTATAGATTAGTTTGTACTAATCTTCACTTATCATTCATTTTGTCATAGAAACTGATTTTTTCTAGAGAAACTTTTAAACTGCTTGTTTTTATTATAGTTAAAGTGTATTCCACTAAAAAAGGTATACAAGTCATAAAACGTTCAAACAAGGCGTTAATTATTGCCACATATATGAACGAATATTTTATTATAGATCGAATTTTTGAGCACCTGCAGTTTCATAGCTATTCAATAGCATATACATATGATTGACTGACTAACTGGCAAAATGAAGGTAGAACCTCGCACATATATGTATCGTCTCATGTTGCTACACTTCACAGTAGTATACAAAGAAAGAGTGAGTAGAAAAAGAACAATGTTAAAATCGATAAAGTTATGTGAGAAAATAAGTTAGTGAAAACATTCAAGTTTTAGACGTCAAGGAGTGAGTACATCCACACCATTATGATCGACTTTCAGCCGTCTTGTCAAGATTTAGTTCTCAAACACTGATTCCTGTCGTCTCGAGCACCCCAAATAGATAGACAAAATCATCACATGCCACTGAGACCAACAAGTGTATGTATACATATACAAACAAGAAGAGAGAGATGAGGAATAAGATATTCCAAATCATGTTTAGCTGTGTACCATTTTTCGCTAAAGGAATTTTCAAGTTATTGTACTTATTCAACTGAATTTCTGATAAAGATTTTTCTATTCATCGCCTTGTAGAGGTTTATTGATTTCAAGTTGATATTCATGATGGACTGATAGCTGTTGGGGAACCACTGAAAACCTGAGAGTACTAGACAGCTGTTTCATCCAAATTTCGAACTCTTCCGCAGTGTGCACTCACGGCCTTAAGGTCTCGTGGTAAAGACGCTAGGATTAAGTCAGCGTTTGATGAAGGTTGAGCTATATCGCGAATTGACCATTTTAAGAAACTCTGAACTATCGGGTTCTAATTTATTATTATTATCCTTTGGGTTCCAAGTGGAATATAGGGCTTCAGTAGCACGTCTCCATTACACTCTTTTCTCTTCAGGCTTTTGAACCTGGCTCCACGGTAGCTCAGAAGCTCTCGTTTCTTCCTCGCACGATCTCATCCATGTCACCTCCACCTCGGACGACCAACTCGTCATTTCACATTCAGATTCCACTCGAGCGACTGGCCTGGCGCGCGATGTCTCCAAATGGCCTTCTCAGTGTATGTTCAATCCTTTTCCACTTTTTTCCTCTGCATATTTGTTGGGTGATGGGTTCTTTGTCGGTTGATTAGTTCGCTGCCAGCCATAGTGAGTTCCTTGTTGTTTATTCTTACTATTCTGGCTATCTGATCTGATCTTCAGTATCGAGTGAGCGTAGACGGTAGCTGTTGATATGATGAATGTCTGTAGTTTGTTGTAAATGCTTTTCGTGACACGCCAAGTTTCTGAACCATATAGAAGCACTAACTTACTTGACTGAATTAATGTTGAAAATTCGAATCTTATTCTTTGTGCTGAGTGGAGTAGATGTCCACACTGATTTCAGACTGATGAAGGAAGGCCTATCTTGCTGTCTTTAAGATGCTGGCTGCGCTCACATGCTCCTGTGTGCCTGTGCCGCCACCTGTATTTGGAACAATTCTGTCTAGGTAAGTGAGTAGGTAGTTGAAAGAGACAACTTCGTTTAGGTTTATCTCGTTGATGGTGACTGGTCCTTGTGGTTGTTGTTGGTGGTGGTGGTTGTGTATCCTCATCGCCTCCATCTTCTCTACATTCACTTGAATTCCCGTCCCGCTGCCTCACCTCTTCTGTCGACTTGTTGGTTTTTGCCTGCAGATTTTCGAGTTTGTGCTAAAAGACATTAGACATAAGTCGTTATCGGTGAAATCCAAATCTCCTAAGGTCTTTTCATTGGTCAAACAATGCGTGCCCATCTTCTTGCTCCTCATAGTTTTCTGCTGCATGATCCAGTCAAGCACAATCAGGAAGATCATCGGTGATAGTAGGTGGCAGCCTTGTTTTACTCCTGTCTTCCCTTCACTTTAACAGCATCACTGAGTTTTCCATTGTGAATCATTTGACATATGGTTTCTTCATATAGTTGTTGAATGCGATTGATGAAGGTTTGTGGTACTAAAATGGCAATGTTGAAGCAGCTCCCTGCCAAATTGCTTCTCGGTTGACGCTGTCGAAGGCCTTTTCAAAGTTGACGAAGTTGGTATAGCAATGAAGCGTAGCATAGCTTAGCAGTTTGACCCACACATGATTTGTTCTTACTGAAGCCAGCCAGCAGTAATGATGTGATCATATCGGATCCTAATGCAGTGGTTCAATAATAATACGTGTTCTACGAAACCTTAAGCTTTTGAGTTTTCTTCCTAGTAAGATGGCGTTTATCGCACTTTTGATGAGTCCTATACTAGGACGAAACAGCCATCTAGTTATCTGAAGTTTTCAGTGGTTCTCAAATGGATATCACTCCATGATAAACATCAACTTTGAATTTTTTTTACTGATTATAAGGTATGTTCGTAGTACAGTATTTTGACTCTTAGGAAGCGCGGTTACTTCAAATGGAAATTAAAGGACGTCAATAATTTTTCAATGGATACAAGTTTTTAATCCACTTCGTTTCCAAGGTAGAATTCATCACCGGTTGACATCAATTAAAGAACAACTAAATACCTAAGGGCACTGTATGGGTGTTTGGTACCCCATTGAGACTTCACAGTAGCGCATATCCATGACTTGACAACATTTTGAAACCAGAACCATCAGTTCTTGTGACAAGCATCTAGTCACTTAGTGACTGGGTTAGAATTCAGTGATCTACATCGTTCTACTTCTGTCAATCCATAATATGATGCCAACATCATTCAACGGGATCATCGGGTATCTTTCTTCAAACTGATTTGAGTGACTAGAGAAGTCAGTATTTTCGCCTGTAGTTGAAACAGTGATGCCTAGATAGGTGAAAGATACTACTTCCTCTAAGTTTCTCCTGTAAATGGTGATTGGAGCTTGTTGTTGTTGGTAGTGGTGGCATTGGTTGGGTATCTACATCACCTCTGTCTTCTCTATATTCACTTGAAGTCCCGTCTTTGCTCCCTTGCCTCTTCTGTCAACTTGTTAGTTTTTGCCTATAGATCTTCAAGTTTGTGTGACAACGCATTAGACACAAGTCATCGGCGATATCCAAGTCTTCTAGGATGCTTCTCTCTGTCCAGCGTATGCCCTTCTTCTCGCTTCTCACTGTTTTTTGCGTGATCCAGTCCACTACAATCAGGAATATCATGGGTGATATTAGACAACCTTGTTTTACTCCTGTCTTCACTTCTAAGGCATCACTAAGCTTCAAACATAGTACGGACATTCCATGTCCCCACGTTTACTTCCGCTTTCATCAGCCAACGGGCTTCCCAAAGGCTTTCACCAACTGGCATCATTTCGCGTCTTCGATTACAGTGAGGAATAAGTTTGTTTTTATTTTTATATTTTGTTTGTGCTTTGAAGTTTCAATAGCGGTTGGATTGGTTTTCCGGAGTAGGGTTGCTAGCCCTACGCCCAACCTTCCCTCTTTACCTGGGCTTAGGACCAGCTGGTAACTAGTGAACTAGTTAACCAGACGAGGTTACATCTGATCTTGCTAATCAAAAGTTTTAGGAGGTTGGCAAGCCATAGAGATCATCATTCAAGGTCATTCGCCGTTGGGGTAGAAATATTTTCGTTTCAAATCTTGATTTATATCCATCCGATTTGTGATCTATTGGCTTCATTTTCTGAGTAGCAACTGTATGTAAATACTATGTGTTTTGTCGAATAATAATGTCGTCTTCCTTAAGTCAGTCAAAAGTGTGTCTTTTGTCTTCTAATTTTCTCAGCTTAGTGAAGTATAGAGCTCGGTGGGGAGGGGTGAACAGTTGTATTACTCAAAAACTATTTTAAGCATTTTTTTTTCTGATCTCAAGTCAAAATTAAATTTCTGTTTATTGATAAACTTGCAATTCTTTGTTGTTTTACTGGATCGAATTGTTCGATCTTTGTTGGCATATGGGCTTCTGTGCGGATCCGTCAATTTTGCATGGTTGTGGCTGGCAGAGTGACTAAGGACATGCATTTCGTTCTATTTGGGATTAGTCAGTTGGATGTACCTGCATCCCAGTGCAGAGTGATGTTGTTCCTACCTAGTACTTATCGCTTCAAACGCCAAGACATTATCCATTATGCCATGGAGGCACGATAGCCACCTCTTATACAATAGGTATAAGTTATTACTATTTATCGATATACTTGTGATTCTCTGTTGTTTTACTGGATCTAATTGTTCAAGGTTAGAGTCTCAGTGGGAATAACATCACTGTGCACTGAGGTGCCTCAACCAATCGCATTACGAAAACTAAATTTCTTTCGAAAGTATTTTATGGAACATTCCTTTTGCGTTATCAATGTGAACCAAATATTTATATATGATTGTACAACTTAAGAATGATATTGTTGAAATGAGTGACTGTTTGCTAAACAAAACTTTTGTTTTATAACTTAATGAGGATATTTAAACTACCGTGTATATTAGTATATTTGTTTTTATATGATACTGTCGTTGAATGGACCGAATTGATAAGTCTCTATTGGCATATGGGCTTCTGTGCAAATGCCTCGATATTGCTTACATTCTAATCATGTTAATGATGGATCATGGCTTGCAGTGGAACCCAGTATGCGCATTTCGTCCTATTTGGGATTCGTCAGCTAGATGTACCTGCTTCCCAGTGAGTGATGTTGTTCCCACCAGGATAATGTGCTGACGTTTGAAGCGATAGCTCCCCAGTCCGAATCCTGGGGGTGGGAACAACATTACTCACAGGGAAGCAGGTACATCCAGCTGATGAATCCTAAATACGAAGAAATGAGCATCCTGAATTCCACTTCCAGCCACTACCTATCATTACCATATATATTTATTAATTGTTGCATTTTGTCAAGAAACCTCTTACATTTTCAAGGAATATACATCCGATAATGGCTTACAGTTGTACATAACTTATTATATAAAAATATGCTTTTGAGTTCATTGAAGATTAACAAGTCGTTAGTCATTAACTATTCAGTGATTAACTATTATGCTGGTGAAACATTTGACCCAAGAATAGTTCCTCAAAGTTGTCAGACAAATAACAATTGAGAGAGAGAAAGAGAAAAAAATAACAATAAAAAAATGAAAATCACCTTCAAGATGGTATTAATTAATTAAAATTTCATTACATATACAATTTTGAAACTTTTTTTACAGAATGAACAAAACAATACAACAGCACAACCTATTCTGAAAGTATCTTCTACAGAAATAATTCAACAGATAGATAAGATGAAATCCTTACTTCCTGAGCGTAAACATCGTCAGACTCGAAAATCAAAGGATGAACTAATATTAGAAGAAAAGGCTAATACATTTCTTCAAGAAATTGGTCAGTTTTTTTTTTTATAGTTAACTGATGTTTATGTCATAGAAACTCTGAAATTTATCAGGTGATTGTGTCTACGATTGTTGAAACCTTTAAATGTACAACCTTAAAGCTTGATTGAAGACGAATGGCTTTAAATACTGTCCACAAAAATAACCAATCACGTTTTGACTTTTTTTTGACTAAACAAATAGTGTTTCATCAAATACAGAAATGTTATTGGTTATCTGTGAAATTGTTAGGGTGACCTTCAAACTTATACTAGCATGAAAATTGTTTTTCAAAACAATCAGTTTAACAATTGATACTTTAAAGTTTCAAACTTTTCTCAATTCATGGTAGAGAATATGAACGTCATAAAATTCATCAGTGTCCAAATGTAGCATAGTATTGGTTCACTAAAGTTAACTTAAAAATCAGTCTTTCCTAGTAAACGTTACTAACATACGTGAGGTGCTGACTGTATTGAAATGATATAAAACTAATTTCACTCTATGAGCTGAATTTGTCTAAGTACACTACTAATGAGCTTCAGCATAGCTTAGGGAAAATGGATGTGAAGTGTTTAGATTACTGTAATTTGACTGAGTAGTTTTTACCTACTCAAGTTATTTGTCAGTAGTATAAGTACTACTGATTCTTGTCCCTTGTATTTTTAGGGAGTTGTGGGGATTTGGAAATATTTCAAGTTGTTATTCATTGTAGACTGACAGCAGTTAGAGGAACAAAGGAAGCCTAGGAGCACTAAACAGCCAACTGTTTCATCCGCTTAGTATGCGACTTCTCAACAGTGCGCATCCACGACCCCACCAGCCAGCGATCCAACCCACAACCTTCAGATTCCGTGGCCAGCACGTTACCATTGAGCTAACCACCGGGTCAGAATACAGTGGTCCGTATTTCCAACTTTTGTTAGTTCACAATATAGCTCAACCGCCAACCAATGTCATCATCGAGTAACTGTCCTCATGACCATCAGGCTTTTCCCCCACCGGTCACGACTTCTAATTGGAACTTCCAGAATACCTCTCGATGAATAAAAACTTGAAATATTTCCAAATCCCCACAACTCCTTCAGAATTCAATTCAACCGGTGCTCATTGGTGACTAGCCTCGAGAGGTAGTCCCGACGTCCCAGTGAGAAGTCGTGACCAGTAGGAGCAAAGCCTGATGGTCTTGAGCACAGTTAGTCAACGACGACATTGGATGACGGTTGCGCTATTTCGTGAATTAACAGAAGTTGAAAATATGGATGATTGGATTGTGACCTAGTGGCTAGCTCAATGGTAACGTGCTGGCCACGGAATCTGAAGGTTGTGGGTTGGATCGCTGGCTGGTGGGGTCGTGCATGCGCACTGCTGAGGAGTCGCATACCAGGTGGACGAAACAGTTGTCCAGTGCTTCCAGGTTTCTTTTGTTCCTCCAACTGATGTCAGTCTACGATGAATAACAACTTGTATTTTTAACATTTTCCTTGATATTTTGTAGCTGCATTATCCAAGACCAACCGTAATACAAATTCAGATACAAGTTTACAACCTATAAAGATGAGTTCAAAAGAAAGTGCAAATGAAGACTGTTCGACGCCTTACTTAAATACAAAAGTTATAGTAAGTTTATTGTGTATGCAATTAACCTGATTGATTATTTGTACTTTCTTGGAGGAGTTTGGTTAGAATTCATTATCGACTAACATCAATTGGAGGAATAATGGAAATCTAGAGGCAATGAACAGCCATTTCATCCAACTGGTACGAGATTCCCTTAGCGATGTGCACCCATTACCCTGTCCCACCAGGGATCGGACCCAGTACCTTAAGGTTCTATGGTCAGCACGTTACCATTGAGCTAGTCACCGGATGGGAATCCAATTTTCCACATTTTCTACTTCATCATACATGAGTTCCAATCTAAAATTAATTCGTAAACTTCCACGAAACCTCCAGATAGAATTAGTCTGATACTCATTAATGACTAACTTCGAGAGATGATTCTTGAAATTCCAATGAGAAGTTGTGATCAGTGGAGTCAATTAAATTGAACATGAGTACAATTACTCAGTGACGACATTGAAAGTAGGTCGCGCTATATCATGAACTGACTGAAATTGAGAATATGAATCGTTGGTTAGCTTAATGGTAATGTGCTGGTCATGGAACCTGAAGGTGCTGGGTTCGATTCCTGCCGGAGTAAAGTTATGGGTGTGCGCTACTGAGGAGTCCCACATCCGAACGAAAATAGCCGACTAGTGCACTCCGATTTTCAACGTTCCTCCAAGTGGTGTCAGTTGATAATGAATTCTAACTAAAAATCAACCTGCAACTGTTTATCAATGCAAATTAGTTTTCTGGTTCCCTAACAAAATCTTTCAACTTTGATGTAGGTCGGTAAAGTATGTTTATCTCTAGGATCACCTATTGTTCATCACCTTCATGGTTTATATTCTATTCAAATCGTTTTATAGTTGATTATGATGCACATGATATCCTTGCCAATGGTTATAAATGAGAAAAAAGTATGAAAACATTTGATTCACCTGATCATTTTGATTTCAGAGTGTTTATCATCAAGGACTGACATCATTTAGAGAACCATTGAAAACCTGAGGACACTGAGGAGGGTGTCTCATCTCTCACTGAGACTTCTCAGTAATATGAACTCACAGCCCAAGTATGGATCGAAGCTTTGACTGTCAGGTCGTATGATCAACACGTTACCATTCAGTCACTTTGTCAAGATTCAGAGGATCACTTTTTCCTACGTTTCACAATTCGTGATATAATGCGATCATCATTGGTTTTTATTCTCATATCCGATTCGACTGACCCCACAGATTAAGGTTTCTCATCAAGACTTCGATAAATTTCGATTGGCGAAATTAAAATAAAATAGTAACTTAGTTAAATTGGTTTATAACACTTTGAATCAGACTAAACTGTATGCTTCAGTAATTTGGTTGATTGCGGCTAACAGAGGAATCCAGGACACTTAGTGGAGTGCAGGTGCGTGCAGCTGATGAGTCCCAAATAGGACGAAACGCTCGTCAAGCTGGATTCCTCTGCTGGCCACAATCAATCAATAACATTCAGGCAATATCGAGGCATCAGCATAGGAGCCCATACTCCAATAGCGGTGGAACAATTCGATCCAATAAAACAACAGAGAATTACAAGTATATTAATAAACTGTGTATTCTTTCAAATAGCCTGCTGTATGTTAATTATTGAGTGATATAAACCTCCTTGTTAGATAAGTCTAACTGAACTTCTCCATATTATAATACAAGTATATCAATAAGTAGTTATAACCAATACCTGTTGTACAACAAGTGGTTATTGTGCCTCCGTTGCCTAGTGGATAATGCCTTGGCGTTTGAAGTGATTGATACGAGGTTAGTCTCTTTAAAATTATCATCTTAAAGACGCTAATAAAAACACTTTCATCACTTCATCATGATGCTGAAATCAAATTTATACTATTCCATAATATTGGAAGGGTTCTGTATCATACAGAATATATAACTTTTTCAGTGGGTAAAAGAAAGGTAGCTGGTTACGATATCGCTTGTTTCGCACTTTTTTATCTAGTAGCTAATGTACACATTGTTCGTCCATTCTTTATTTGACATGGATTCTGTTACGTCTCTGAGATGATATAATGCGTACGCTTGACTGATAACTTATTTCATACAGAAGATTCATCTACTCCAATCCCCTGAGATGAAGTAGAAAAGAAGACTGAACTGTAAGGTAGAGTTTATTACCTTCTAGAAGAATAGTCAACTGAAAGAGAAACATATGTGTGTATATATACATAACATATGACCTTGTCTAGAATTTGAAATACTAACGTAGCAAAAGTAAGCATTAACCAATCAGTGAATCACCTTGAAGATGGAGTGGATGCAAATGAACATGCCATAAAATTGGCTCGAAAACAACAATTTAAAGTTGTTTATATTAATAGACAATGTTTTATGCAAATCTATGACCTTCGAATAGAATTGTCAGAGGATAATATACTGATCGTATTTCAATCCAAATGGTTGGGCCACTAGGAAAAAATTTACTGTTTCAGTAAATGTCCTTCATAACCAGCTAAGTAATTGTGGAGTTATATATTTGAATTGTAGCTTTGGTCGACATGTTACTACAACAAAAACCTTTACAGTTTAGTTGTAATCTATCTATGATGCATGTCTCATCCCATTTTGGACTCGACAACAAGTGATGATGTTCCTATTAAGACTAAGACGTAACTGTTCAAACACTAGTCTGTCTCCTACTAGGGCACACCGACGCACAAGATTCACCTTTTGCACAACAGTTATCAGTCGTCATTTGGTAAAACTTATACTTTCCCTAATCAATAAACAACCATTTTATTATAGAAAAAGATAAGACATGGTTGCAGTGAAGAAAAAATTCTTTTTTCAACGAATTCATTTACTAAATTGTATATTCTACAATTATTTCCGGTTAGGGGGCAAAATATACTCAATAACTAAAGAAAGTTAATTAATACTCAACTAGGTTTTGAGTGGGAAAATAGACAAAGGATTATAAAATTAAATGTAATTACGCAAAACAGGATGAATGTATGACAAAGTAGGAAAATGGACAAGGGATGAAGGAAATACATGTAAAGTTACCTAATAATATGGAATGAATCTATAACAGTCAAGGCTTTATAATGGTCATGGGAAAGATCAAAGTTGGATGTACCTTTTATGGACGCATAACACTGGTTTGAAGTTCTGGATGACTAGTGCTTTAGCTATAGATAAATGACTTGATCTTCCTACCTTTAAGTGGTTTGATCGAATCCTGTAGAGGATTTTGAAGCAGCTCTCTAAAGGAGATAAGTACTCTGAGTTCATAAGGTATTCTGTTATTGAAGTGAAGATACATTTCCTTTCTTCCTTTGCTAGCCAACCAGGCTGGGTAGTGTTCGAGGGCACATTTTACAAGTGGATGTATTGCACGGCCGATGTGTTAAGCTTCATAAGAGCAAGTAAACTGGCTTACACACATTAATGACAGCCCAATACGTCGGTTTATTCTTTACACATTGACCGCAAAGTTTCTCGGACATTCAAAAAGGTTAACGGTGAAGTATGTTCTATTTAAGGATTTCAATAGTCATTTCCTGAGGATTTCTGCAGCAATATCATTTTTAAATTCAAGATTCAACAAACGAATCTTCTTTCAGTTCAGTTCTTTGGCTTCATGTTCCTATCTATGAATCAGAGTAGGAAACCATTTTCCGTTAGAGTTCGTCAAAGATTTTGTACTTCTCCTTCAACAGTGTCTGTCCTAAGTACATATTTTCCTGATCCTAAAGGATAGTAAACAGATAATATTTCTCTTCCTACATAGAAAGACTAAACTTTGAAAATTAATAAACTGTCCATTCCATATAGGCTTTCTGTAGATCAATTTATTAAGTGGATTATCATCTTTTTTTCTTTGAAGTTGAACATCAAGAAAATGGAGTGTTGAGTTTATTTCTGATTCCAACTTGAATTTGATTGAAGGGTGGGTGTCGTGGAGCCAGGTTCAAAAATTTGCAGAGAACGGAGTGTTATGGAGAGGTGCTACTGAAGCCCTATGTTCCACTAGGAACCAAAGGGAAAAATAATAATAATAATAAACAAGTAGCATTCATCATGGACTGACATCAGTTGGGAGAACCATTGAAAATCTGGGAGCTCTGGACAGCTGTTTCGTCTCAATATGGGACTCCTCAGAAGTACGCACCCGCGAGCTGTTTAGGGATCGGATTCAGAACCTTCAGGTTTCACGATGAACGCGTTAACCACTCAGACCCTGGGTAGGTTTCCAATGGTTCACAATTTCCAACTTCTGTGAATTCACAACATAACGCGTTCGCCGTGAAACACGAAGGTCCTGAGTTCGATCCCTAGCCGGGTCATGAGTGCGTACTGCTAAGGAGTCTCATATTAGGACGAAACAGCTGTCTAGTGCTCCCAGATTTTCAATAGTTCCCCCGGCTGATGTCAGTCCATGATGAATACTACTTCTAAATTAAAAAAAATCCCCATTCATCTGAAAAGTACATTACTGTATAGTGCTAATTAGTGACTTGCTTCCAGATGGATGTTAGGAAGTTCTAATGAGAAGCCATGATATGTGGGGTCAACTAGTCAGAAGTGAAACGGATGACAATTGAAGACTTTTTGTAATAGTCACGCTATGTCGTGAATTGACCGAAGTTGGAAATTATGAACCATTGGAAACCGACCCTAGTGTCTGAGTGGTTAACACGTTCACCGTGAAACCTTAAGGTTCTGAATTCGATCCCTAACCAGGTCGTGGGTGCGTACTTCTGAGGAGTCCCATATTGAGACGAAACAGCTGTCCAGTGCTCCCAGATTTTCAATGGTTCCCTCAGCTGATGTCAGTCCATGATGAATACTACCTTTAAATTAAAAAAATCCCCATTCATCTCAAAAGTACAATAATAATAGTAGTTGTTAAAAGTATGAAATATGTTTCTTTGTTTATTTTTGTATATACCTCTCTGTTATACACTATATATCAGTTCTATTTTCTTTATTCAAATAGCGATGTGTATCTGATCATGAACGAACTAATTTAAAAATAACTCAAGACTTTTCTTAAGAAGAAAATATTTCTTATTTATCTAAAAGTGATTCAATACGTCTAAGATACTGTTATCATGAACCTGAAAACTTTTCAGTGCATCCAATTATTTTCTAAACTAGAATCAAAATGTTTTCAATTCATAGATACTATTATTGTCATGATTATTTCTTATCCCATTTGTATCTATTTCTATTGTGATAAAGTCAATTGGTTATTTTGCATTTCAAACAAATTTTGAAGATAATTTTGTCTTTGTTCTCTCTCTCTCTGTATGTGTGTCTTACTTGTTCAAGAGTCAATTTAACACCTTTTGTTTTACTTCATACTTTATTCCACTAAAGATATTCACTTTTGTTCATATCATTTTTATATTAACATCTTATTATAATCAAATGACGAATCAAACTTCTGTATTTTAGGAAAATTTATCTTTTTCCAACTAGAATACTAAAAGTTGATTGGTTATTTCATCATTTACTAGTGTAGACTTTAAAGTTGCCCTTTTTTCTAATAAATTTCATTTATATTTATTGGTAATCTAATAATCTATATATATTATAGGTTGATAGACTTTATGAAAGTTGTGCAGTGTAATGACAACGCAGGTGGACTGACTGAAGTCTTCCAGATCGATTATCATATGCATATATATATCAACATACCAACATAGGAAGATACTTTTCCAATTGTTTTCCCATTCTTATTTACATTATATGAATATAATATATCACATATTGAGGTGGATATTTTGTAAAAATAATCTAGGTGATATAACCTATCATTATAATGAATTGACTAACCTCCGTTTTTCAAAAAGTCGGTTTATTCTTCTTTGTAATTAAGAAAACAAGATGTTACATGACTATTGTTTAGATTATGTGTCTTTAAATATTGAAAAATACATAAATTTTATATTATTATTGTAACTATTGAAGAAAGCTGCAGTTTGGTTGGCTGGTAATATTGATCCTAAGTTGATGTTTGATGATGAGATGAAAATCTAACTAACTGTAAGATGTGAACTACCAGCTTCAGGATTATCGACTCAGTGCTTTACTAAATGACTTTTGAGACCTCTTTCAATGACTGAATAGTTGAAATTAAGTTAAAAAGATGTCAGTAATTGGTGCTTTGTAAGTTAGTTAGCCTCATTCAACAACTATATGAAGATGCCACATGCCAAGTAATCCACAATGGGAAGCTCAGTGATGCCTTTGAAGTGAAGACAGGAGTGAAACAAGGTTGCCTACTATCCCCCATGATATTCCTTATTGTGGTGGACTGGATCATGCAGCAAACAGTGGGCAGCGAGAAGAGGGGGATACACTGGACAACGGAAAAGAACCTAGAAGACTTGGATTTCGCCGATGACTTATGCCTAATGTCACATAAACTTGAAGATCTGCAGGCAAAAACTAACAAGTTGACAGAAGAGGCAGCTAAGACGGGACTTCAGGTGAATATAGAGAAGACAGAAGTGATGAAGATACCGCACCACCACCATCAACAACAACAACAAACTCCAATCACCGTCAACGGGAGAAACTTGAAGGAAGTAACCTCCTTCACTTATCTAGGAAGCACTGTTTCAACTACAGGCGGGACGGACGAGGACGTCAAAGTCAGAATCGGAAAAGCAAGACAGGCGTTCATTAGCCTGAAACCAGTGTGGAGATCTGCACTCAGCACAAAGTGTGAACAAGATCCGGATTTTCAACACCAACCCAGTCAAGTCAGTGCTTCTGTATGGTTCAGAGACTTGACGCGTTACGAAAGGGATTTCCAATAAACTACAGACATTCATCAACAACTGCCACCTACGCTCGCTGCTGAAGATCAGATGGCCAGAGAAAATAAGCAACAAGGAACTCTGGGAACGAACCAACAAAGAACCTATCACGCAACAAATATGCAGGAAGAAGTGGAGATGGATTGGCCATGCACTGAGAAGGCCGACTGAGGACATCACGCGTCAGGCCCTCGAGTGGAATCCCCATGGGAAGCGAGGAGTTGGGCATCGGAGTCGAGGGTGACATGGAGGAGGTCATGCGAGAAGGAAATGAGAGCTTCTGGGCTGTCGTGGAACCAGGTTCAAAAGATCTCAGAGAACAGAGGTCACTGGAGGCGTGCTACTGAAGCCCTATGTTCCACTAGGAACCCAAGGGACTAATAAATAAATAATAAGTTAGTTAGCAGGGTATACTTGTCAGGTTACCCTGAGACCTTGTTTGTATTGTGCTCTCTGAGCAGGTTGTTGTTTAATCGTGAAGCTTTCAACGTCTTGCTAGACGACATCATCACCACTAACTTCAGTATGAAGTAAGCTATCAATACCTCTCCGTGAGTGAGTTAGTAGCTTGCTCTGACGAACTGGTTTGTGATTGGTTGTTTCTTTTGATTGTTGTGTCATTGACTGTGTACATTCTCCTGTTGGCTGTTCCTTTGTTGGACCTCTGACCATTCTGTCGTTTATTATCTTTCTTATTAGTTGATAGATTGGGTCTATGTCTGCACATATATTGATTACTAACTGACTTATGTGAATGCCAAGCTTCTAAGAATTCTCTGATATTCTTTCTGTTTCCTCTCTCTGTCAGTGAACCTTACACAGAGGGATAATGACAACTTATCTTATATTGAAGGTAGTACTGATGATGTTGTCAAGACAGACGACGAAAGCTCCACAACTAAAGAACCCAGTTCTCTACCCTAAGACCATTCGTTCAAGTGTTGCCACGACCACAATTTCCACATAATCTTTAATTATCATTCTTTATTGATAAGTTTTTACAGATATTTTGCTTAAATTTTAAATCATCTCCAGAAAATGCTACTTTTTAAGATAACTAAAAGTTGATATTTCATTGCTAACTATTTAAAAAGCTGAAAATCATTTCAAAGTTTTGAAAACAACACGTAGAATAATTTTGTTATTGATATTTACTGTTGCTGGTTTACAGAATGTAATGGACTAATCCTCATTGGCGTATAAATGTCTTTATAGAGTATTCTTAATCCAATCGTGACAGGTGTTGGCAGCGAAATCTACAAAGTATGTTTCTTACTATCTTGAAAATAACTACTAAAAGATTGTAAGTTGAACGATGAGAATAGAAACATTTAAACAACAAACTAACATACTTATTGTACAGGGTGTAAATCTACAGTTGTAGATGACAGATATCAGTTTGGAATCTTACTGAAAACATCAAAACACCAGGATACAGTATATATTCACCTAATGAATTCCAAATAGGATGAAATATGTGTCTTGAATTCCTCTCCTGTTAGCTACTACTAACAGTATAATTAAAGTCAATTTTATCATTCAGTATCATATATAATAGATTATCAAAAACAGATCTTTTACGTAAACATTCCTAATTATTATTATGATTATTATCTGACCCTTGGGTTCCCAGTGGAACACAGAACTTCAGTAGCACGTCTCCAGTGAACTCTGTTCTCCGTAATCTTTTGAAACTGGCTTCTTCATACCATCTCCTCCATGTCATGCTCAGATGCCAAATTCTCCGTTACCCATCTGGATTCTACTCGAGCAAGTGTCCTGGCGCAAGATGTCCCGAATGGTCTTCTCTGTGTGTGCCCAATCCAACCCATCTCCACTTTCTTCCTTCTCATATTTGTTGGGTGATGGGTTGTTGGTTTGTTCGTTGCCAAAGTTCTTTGTTGCTTATTCTCACTATTATGGCCATCTGATCTGTTCTTCAGTATGGAGTGAGCGTAGACAGTAACTGTTGATGAATGTCTGTAACTTGTTGGAAGTGCCTTTCGTGACGCGCCAAGTTTCTGAACCATACAGCAGCACTGATTTAACGTTGGTGTTGAAAATCTGGATATTGTGCTGAGTGCAGAAGATCTCCACACTGGTTTCAGGTTAATGAACGCCTGTCTTGCTGTCTTTCCGATCCTGGCTTTGACATCTCCATCGTTGCCGTTGCCTGTATTTGAAGCGATGCTGCCTCCGTGGGTCAGTAGATAGGTAAGTGAAAGAGACAACTTCCTTTAGGTTTCTGCCGCTTATACTGATTGATGTTTGTTGTGGTTATTGCTGTTTGGGTATCTTCATCACCTCTATCTTCTCTACATTCACTTAAAGTCCCGCCTTCACGCCGTCTTCTGTCAGGTTGTTTATCTCTGCCTGTAGATCTTCGAGTTTGTTCGACAAGACATTAGATATAAATCATCATCGTTGGTGAAATGCAAATCGTCTAGTGTCTTTTCGTCGGTCAAACAGCCAGTGCCCCTCGTATCACTTCCCACAGTTTCTTACATAATCCAGCTCACCGTAATCAGGAAGATGATCGGTGATAGTATGCAGCAACTTTGTATTACTCTTTTCTTCACTTCACTTCAAAGGCGTCACTGACCTCTCTATTTTTAATCATAAGGCGTGTAACATCGTCATACAGTAGTTAAATGAGGTTGATGAAAATTTGTGGTACTCCTTATTATTGAAGTAGCTCACTGCCAAATTACTTCTCGGTCGACGCTGTCAAAGGCCTTCTCAAAGTCGACGAAGTTAAGCTAGAGAGTTGACTGCCATTCTATACTCTGTTCTATGATGATGCGTAGTGTAGCGTTGCAATTTGATCCGCACATAATTTTCACTTCCTGAATCCAGCCTGTTCCGGTCGTAAGTTTGAATCCAGTGCATCATTTAGTCTCTGCAGGATTATGCGGCTTAATATTTTACTTGAGGTGGATAGGACCATGATTCCTGTCCAGTTCTTGTAAAGACTTCGGTCGCCCTTCTTCAAGAGTTTGACAAGGTTGCCCTTGTTTCAATTGGTGGCGACCTTAGCTTTCTTCCAGACCTTCTGCAATAATGGTGTGAGCATATCCGAAGAACTCCTAAATGTAGTTATATTTATGGATATATAGAATAGGTTCAGAAAGGCATGGAACAGCAGCTAGTAATTTAGAGGAAATACCTTTTTCTGTGATTTTGGTCTGACAACACCTGTATCATTTCACTTTTATGATATATTTTT